GTCTCTTGAGACAAGTACCCAAACAGGCAAGGCCTGCTTCTTCCTTTAATTCCTTCCAGAAATATACCAATATCCCTTAAGCCCAAGTGCTCTTCTTTACTATCTAAGCTACCCTAAGATCCTGTTTCATCATTGAAATGGGTCTTCTGTAAAATTTGCCATTGCATGTATTAGTTAGGATTACTTTCAACTGTGAATGACACAAACTCAGAACTAATAGTGGTTCAAACAAGATACAAATCATTTTTGCTTTACATAAAAGGATGTCTTGGGGCTGGACCAGAAGCTTCATGATGTCATCTGAGACCCAGATTTCTTCTCTCTTTTTCTTCTGCTGCCATTAATATATTGCCTCATGGTCTAAGATACCTGCTGGAGTTCTAGCCATTTTGTCCCTTTTCCAGACAGCATGAAGGAAGAAAGGGAAAATGCATGCTGGGATAGACAACAACAGTTTCTGTCATCATACTTGGCACTTCTGTTTTTCTTGCTTTTCTTCTGTTGAGATGCCCCAAGACTGTGAGAAATCCTTCCTCTCTCTTCAGTATTCTCATAGCAAATTGCATGCATCATGATCATTTATTAAAGTTAATTAATACATATTACGTTCCTATGATATATCCCCAGCACCTAGCTCGGTGTTTGATACAAAGAAGAATAATAGAAGGTGGTGCTCCCAGGATCAAGAGAGGCTTATACACACACAGATGATTAGATGATTACGATGCAGGATACAGTTCTGTCCCTCAATTCCAATATGTGGGTGGTTTCTCCCCACAGCATCAAGTAATTCCCTACTCCTGAGCATTTTGCAATTCAACTCAATCCTTACACTATCTACCCAGAGACAGCATCAAATTCTGTTATAGATTCAGTCCCACAAGAATGCCCCTCCTGCCCTCAGATGCCAATCACAAGTCCAGGTTGTTACCTGAAACTTCTGACTGACAGGCTATAAATCAGATTTCCACAGCCTCCTCCTTAGGCTTGATTAATTTGCTAGAGTGGCTCACAGAACTCAGGTAACCAGTTTAGTCACTTGATTACTGGTTCATTACAAAGAGTATTAAAGGATATGAATCAGGGGCACCTGGGTGGCTCAGTTGGTTTAGCATCTACCTTTGGCTCAGGTCATGATCCCAGGGTCCTGGGATGGAGTCCTGCATCGGGGTCCCTGCTTAGCAGATAGTCTGCTTCTCCTCCTGCCTCTCCCCCTGTTCATGCTTATACTCTCTCTCTTTCTCCAAAATAAATAAATAATTTTTTTAAAAAATAAAGGATATGTATCTATAGCCAGATGAAGATATAGGATGAAATCCAGAACAAAGGAGCCTGAGCCTGTGGATTTGAGGCCTGGCACAGGTAACAGATGGGTGTGTTCTGGTTCACCAACCTGAAACCTCTCTAAGTCCATCCTTTTTGGGCTTTTATGAGGACTTCATTACACAGGAATGACTGATTAAATCATTGGCCACTGGTTCCTCTCCCCTTTCTGAAAGTTCCAACCCTTTAATCATATGGTTGGTTCTTCTGGCAACCAGCCCACATTAGGTTAATTCCAGAAGTTACACCATTAATATAACATGACCACACTCAACACGGGAAATTCCAGGGATTTTAGGAGCTGTGTGTCAGGAACAGTGACTGAAGACTGAATATGTATTCCTAATTATAATTCACAATGTCACATCGAGTACAAAATTTAATGACAGATGTGTGGACATTGGCCATAGGAGCACAGAGGAAGCTGGTTACCTGTAGCAGAGAACGGAAAGGTATATTCGATGGCAGCACCCCCACAGAAGAGAGTATTTGAGCATGGCATTGAATGACATACCAAAATTCTGCCAAGTGAAGAAGATAAGAAGGACTTTAAGAAGGAATCCTATATCCTTAAATGTAGTTAGGGGTAAAAGTCCTGTGGGCCCAGCCAGTTCTCCCATTGTTCAAGATACATGGGTTGAGTGGCAGGAGAAGGTGGGCATCTGTCAAAAAGGCCTTGTAGGCTATGCCACAGAGTTTGAATTTCTTCTTGTATTCCAGGAACTCTTGAACATAAATGTCCCTAAGACCCATACAGTATGCTCATTAATGATGCATATTTTCTTTTTCTTTCTCCTAGAAATTCTGATTCCATAGGAAATTCATTTTAACAGGTGCCTTGAATGATTCAGGAATTCCCAGTGTGGTGGTTTGGCAGCCAGGAGTCAGTGTTGAATTAAAGCAAATGCAGATGATCAGACTTGGATTTTACAGAGGTCATTCCAGTAGTGGCATGAAGAGTGGCATTGTGAGTGCCAGGAATGGAGGCAGGAGACATATTAGGCAGCTCTGATAATTGTTCAGGCAAGAGGTAATAAGTGTTGACCCTGAGGAGTGACAGTAGAAGTGAAGGGTGTTTAGAGAATTATTTTGGAAATATCAATGACATGACTTGGTGACACTGATTGTGATGGATTGAAAGAAATAGAAAGTTGAAAATAGCTCAGGTTTTTAAGCTTGGATGACTTAGCAGATGGTGAGGCTATTAAACAAGTTAGTGAAAAGAAGGGAAAGAGTAAGTTTGGGAAATAAAGAGTTTCATTTGAATATGAATATTCATGTTAAGTTGGGGATGCCTGGAGGGGCACTTTTTTGTATTACAGTATGGGTATGCATACTCTCCCCAGAAACACACAGACAATCATACCTCTCACTATATTGCAGATTCCTCTAGGGTACAGATCTGACATTGGTAGTTGGCACATACTTCACTTTCCCTGGCATATGGCCACTTAGAATTGAGGGTGAGGAGACATCCACAGAATAAGCATATGTCCCCTCCTCACCCAATTCCCAAAAAGGTAGCAGTATAACATGGTGAAAGATGAACTCTACTTCTGAGACTGTGAAGCAAATTATGATTCTCTTTGTTCTGTGACTCTAAAAGAAATCCAAAGTTTTCATCCAAAAAGAGAAAACCTGATCATTTTGGGAAACATAACCAATCATGACATTTCAATCTGCTGCTGTTCTATTGCTGTGCTGCTAGGCTGCCCACACAAACCTGCTTCTTAAGTATATCGTTCTTGCACATCTTTGTATTACTTGGCATATACATTTTATCTTCTCTTTTGTTTCTTTGACTTGGGAGTCACTGGTTGATTGTGTTCTCTTTCTGAAAACTGTAATTCTTTGAACATGATAAATAAGATTTTTTAAAAAAATTATATTAGTATCTCTGGGGCTATTCTTTCCCAGCATCCACCCCCTACTTCTTTCTTCCATATTCTTTTCTACTAATATCTTTTCCCTGTTTCAGACTTTCTAAGAGAAGCTGGACAGGAAACAGTAGTATTCTGTTGGCAGAAACAACCACTGCCTTAGCAAACAGCGACGATTCAGGACCAAGGACAGTGGCAAACTGGTGGTGGGGCTCAAGATTTTGACTTTACACTTATAAGAGATGATTTGTGTATCACAGGTGTTCCATAAACATTAAATCAAATTGAAAATGTGAGTAGAAGAGTTGATTAATGTACATTTCCAACAAATAAGTGTGAGCTTGCTGATGTGAATATCACACAAGCTCTCTCGGCTTTATGTACGTAACTCTTCTTTTCCGTCTGGTACAGGTGATAGAAAAACATGTTGATCCTGAAAAAATGCCGTTACCACAGCTGAGGAAGACGTATATCCTTTTCTATGCTTTGAGTGTGTGCATGTGTGTGTATAGTACTGATATCCTTAGTAGGTGATATTTCAAATATCTTTTTAGAGCCATATTCCCTACCATTATGGTTTTATGTTCTTCTTTAAGAAAGTTTAGTTTTAGTTTTGCAGGCACTGCACAATTTGGCTGCCAGAAGAGCCAGATTCTTTCTAATATATGTTTTGGCACCAAATACATTGTATAAAATAGAGAAGCTAGCAGTGGGAATTATAGCAAATCTTAAAAGGGCTTAATTAAGCATCCTTTAGAACTAAGAGTCACAATATTGACATTCTATCTTCAAGAACTAATCATCATGTCCATTAGGAAAAAAAAAAGAGCACAGAAATCTCCTGAAATGAAAGTTAAAGAACCATGGAGAACTTAAACCTGAAAATGTTACCTTAGAAAAACTTTCTAAATGAAAGTCATGTAAGGAATGGGTTCTTAGCCTGCTATTCATGAACTCCAGTGGACTTCCTGATGTCTGTATACTCCTCTAAATTACATGCAGAAACATGTGGCAATGGTAATTTCTACATTTTTATTCCCTCTCCAATGATTGAGACTCCCCAAAGGGTGCACAACCCAAAAAGCATCAATAACTATATTCTGGAAGTCATTCAAGATCTTTGGATATAAAAACAATAAACACTGATTTCCTAGTTATCCATGGTACTAATGTGTAATATTTAAAATTTGGTTCTTGTGAGTGACAGAAAATCCCAAATAGCAGTGAATAAGATAGATGTTAAACGTTTATTCCTTTTTCATTTTGTTAAATTCGGTTCTTTTTGAAGCAGACACCCAAAATGGGATTAAATGTGCAAGGACTGATTTCCTGAGTGAAAGGAAATAGTGAGAGAGTTAGAGAAGGCCGAGGGAGACATTAGACCATAATGCAAGTGCCACCCATGAAGAAGAGAGGATGAGGAGGCTGAGTGGGAGGGTCTAAGGCTGCTGTGCAGTCTAAAGTACATTCATCAAAGCCATTGGGGGTGGCTGACAAGCTCTCCCATGTCCTTCCATAGCACTGAGCCATTGGCGGGGAGCAACCCATGGGAGTCATGGCCTTGATGAAAACTAAGGTGATAGAAATCAAAATGCAACAGCTTGGTCATTTATGCTCCATGTTGAAGGAGGTCTGCAAAACACATTCTCATGGCCGTCACACTCACATAAGGGAATCTCAAAGGTAGGTAAATACCTGGGCTAGTAAAGCAGTGTCATAACCTTATTAGGGAGCCAAGCTCCTTGGATCTTGTTCCCCCACCCTCCTCAGCATGAAGCTTTGTCCTCATGGTCAGAGATGATTAATTGGAGTGTAACCATCATATCTGAACTCCAGAAAATGAGAAGAGGTAAGGGATGAGGAAGGAGGCACCCCTCTCCTTTTGAGGACATTTCTGTCCTAGAAGTCATACATAGCACTACACTAACATCCCATTGGCCAGCATTGTCATTAACCTCACCCCTGCAGAAGAGACTGGAAAAATATATTTTTTTATTCTGGGAAACCACATGTGTGGCTGAAAATTGGGGTATCTTTTACCAAAAAAGAGTGAGAAAATAGATATGAGGGAACAAGTAGCAGTTTCTGCCATTGGGAAGCAGAGAGGTATAGTCAACATGGATACTAACACACAAATAATTATTTACAATTTGACATTTTACTTTGTATAGCATCAAAGATGTAGATAAGGATGAAGACAAATGTGCAATGTACTCATACTTTCAAGTAATTGGGCCTTTATATGTACAGACTCTTTTTGAGTTTGGCCCTGTTTTGGCAGTCCAGTTGTTTTGAAATGGAGGAAACTAAATATTATACACAAATGCAAATCAGGAATCTACAAAACTCTAAATAATAACAGCTAAGGTATTATCTGAACTTAACTATATATTCAAGAGTCTTTTTGATGGTGGTGTCCTCTAAAGTCAGAGCTATTCTAAATAGAGAATTTTGGAAAATATATTATCTTTAACTGCTTTTTTCCAGTTCAACTCACAGGAACTAAGTATGGCTGTGGAGTGGGAGGCTGTGGTGCCTGCACAGTGATGATATCATCATATAACCCCGTTATCAAGAGGATAAGGTACCTTGCAGCCAAGTCTAGATATGGTTGCATTTTTAAAGTCTTGAACTTTGTTTTATTCTTTCACTTGATAAATATGTATGAGCACCCACTATGTGACAAGAACTGTGCTAGATACTGGGTACAATGACGAACAAGATAGACATGGTCCCCAGAATATGAATGGGTTAGAAAAAACTATATCAAAAAAAAAAGAAAAAACTATATCATCAGGGGGGATAACATATGGTCAAAGAATCCCCTGTTGAAAATTGAAATGCTGTCTGACTCTGTGCTGTCTGGGGAAGAAAGGAAGGGCTGAAATAGCAGTGAAGAGTAATGCCATTATCACACTTTTGTGTTACCATTATAGCCTACTAACTGATATCCTTGCTCCCACCCCTGGCCCTCTATTTGGTGAATTCTGTACATCAGACGGATCACTTTCAAGTATAAGTCAGATCACCACACTCTCCTATTTAAAAATCACCAATAGTTTCATTATCATCTTCTCTTTATGTTTGATATTTATCCTTCTTCAGATTTGCCAAGTTTCTTGGATCTGTGGGTTAATGTCTTCTATCAGCTTTAGAATAGTCTCAAGCCATCATCTCTTCAAATATTTACTCTTTTCTTTCTTTGTCTCCCTCCCTTCTACCCTCCCTCTCTCTCCTCTTTTCCTCCTCCCCTTTTTATTTTCTCTCCCCCTCCTCTCTCTAACTATGCATATCTTAAACCATTTTACATCATTCTACAGATCGCAGATGAAGGCTGAGGATCTGAGCAGTGGTAAGATTTCAGAGATCTGCCTGTATTCCACAGCTAAGTCACCTGCTTCCTGAACTCTCGGTGATCCCTCCCTGCTTTACAGCCTGGCTGCCTACTTTAGTTCACCTGGAAGTTCTCTTTACTCTCCTATCTCACTTCCATGCTTTGGGAGATCTCTTGCAGCCATACCTCCTTGTTTTAGTATCTGGAGGGTGGCAGCTGCCCTACACTCTGTGAAGCCAGAGTGCTGACAGCCTTCCCTTAGTTCTCTTGCTTTTTTCCAAATCTTCCTCATCTAGGAGTCTAGATGCCTGGAGAGTTTTTTTTATAACATTCCTTCCCTACCACTAGTTTTACAGTACTACCCTCAGCACTCAGTGAAGTTTGGTGGGGAAGACTTTGGGGACAGTGCAGTTCAACTTTATATTCAGCCCACATTAGAAGTTTGTTGAAAACTGGTGTAGTTTCTCCTTACTCCTACTTATAGCAGATTCCTTCTCCATCCACATCAGTCAGAGATGAGGACATCTGTATCTCACTCTCTTATAAAGGGCTTGCACTTAATGGGGCTTAGTTCGTTTAAGTTTCTTCACATGCTCAGCATCTGATGCATTTTTTAAAAACTATAATTATATAGCTTATATGGCTTGTTTTGGTCTTTAGAATGAAGCCTTGGTTTCTAAATGAAGCCTTACAGTTACCTACCTTGCCTGTCTTTCAGCCTGGAATCCTAACATTCCTTCTGTATTCACTATGCTCCAACCTCACTGGCTTCTTTCTGTCCCTAAACATCCCAAGCTCACTGCTGCCTCAGGGCCTGTGCTTGTTTTGTCCCTCTACCTGGAATATTTGCTCCCAAACCTTTCATGTCTGGCTCCTTCAAATCATTCAGGTTCCAGCAAAAATGTTACATATCAACCCTCTTTGATCACCTTGTAAATAGCAATGCCTGCCTCACCTCTGCAACTCCTTATTCCCTTTGCCTGTATCAATTTATTCATAGAACTTCTTACTATCTCAGTTTATATATGTATGTATGGTCTATGTATATATGTATTGTCTATCTTCCTGCAACTAAAATATATATTCTACAAGGCAGGAATTTTATCTGTCTTGTTCACCAATGAATTCCAGTGCCTGGAACTTTGCCTAGCACATAGTAGACACTCAACAAATATTTACATTTAGTTATAAATGAATAATATTCTTCCAATCTTTCTTTTGTGTGTGTATATATGTGGATGAAATACTGTTTAGAAACCTGTGTATTTTGCTTCTAAAAAATGTGCATGAGCTGAGGACAGAATGTATTTGCAGAGCCTGAGGCATCATACAAAATCTGCCATATTGGAGGTGCTGGGTGAATTCTCATTCATTTCCCACTGGATACAATGTAATTTGTGCTTCTCTTTTGCATTCTGAAGACATTATGCAGCCAATGCCTGTCTGATCCCCATCTGCTCTCTGTACAGGGTTGCTGTCACCACAATAGAAGGCATAGGAAGCACCAAGGCCAGGATTCATCCTGTTGAGGTGAGGGTGTACTTCTTTCCTCATAGTATTTCTGTGCTTCAAAAAGCATGGCAAGCCACGCAAGTTGATGCAGTCGAACAGTCTGAGCTCTGCTGCTTGGCCACTGCCCACCCATACATGAAATTGAGCTCAAGGCCAGGAGTGACACCTGGTGTGTGGATGTTTTATAACTGATTCCTTAGAAAGATGCTTTTGGAAGCCTTCAAGGCATTTTCTTTTGAAAGAAAACTCTGACATTGCTGGGTTTGGTTTTTTTGTTGTTCTAATTAGATGGGACCTATCCTTCTTACATCTCCCAAATTCAAAGAAACGAGGGCCGTATGCATTGAGGGTTATAATTGCATCATTTTTTTTTTTTACAAAGTGCAGAGTAACCTCATTTTAAAGCTGGATGAAAATCTCAGCTCCAAAAAAGACTTAGTAAATGTAGCACTTGTTCAGAAGACAGATAATTGGAGTTTTTAATAAATTTGGAAGCTTTTTTTCCTAAGGCAGCACCTTGTTAGAACTTTACCTCAAATGAAAGGGCACCTTAGACTCCTGGCTCTTTAAATTATTTATACATTGCCCATAAAAATGCTGTTGCTACTTGTTTTTATCTAGGTTAATGAAGATCACTTATGGGGAGAAGGATATAAGAGGAAAAAAGATAGGAGCAATATAGAGAATAACTAAACTTCACATTCTCTGGACTTGAAGGAATGTCAGGTCCTGTTTCTGTCCTGTGAAACCTCATTACCTAGAGGGAGCAAATTCTGCTTAGATGCTCTTGTGAGATGTGGCTGTTCTACAGCTGTGAGACATCCTTTCATTTAGTAGTGGCTGCTGAGTGACTGGTGTTGCAATGTTGCCAGAAGACAGATTCCAGAATGGGGTTGTGCCTTTGAAGTTAGACTCCAAATAGAAAATGCTGGGAAGGAAAAGATTTGATAGAGAAATAGGCAATGTTTCCTTCTTGACTGTTTTCTGGATTAATTGTTACACTTTGCAAACAAACTTCTGTGTGCTCTAGTGATAGGGCAATTGTGGGCAGCTAGAAGACTCAGGAGGTTTGGTGTGGTTTGATTTTCTCAACCTGAGTGCAATTTGCTTCACTTCTGTGAGGAACTTAAAGGGGTAACTTTTATTTCAGTGATTCCCATTCTGTACTACGTATTGAAACCACCAGGGAATAGATGCCCATGTTCTTGGTCTGGGCTGCTGCTTGGGCCTTGGAAATTTTAAAGTTCCCTTGGTGATTCTAAAGGATGAGAACCTTTAATGAAATATGAAAACCAGTAATCACAGCCACCTGGTCTGAAGAAAAGGAGACACCTAGGATGAGAAGGAATTTCTAGTCTCTTCTCCAATTTTAATGTGCAAACAAGTTGCCTGGGGATCTTGTCAAAGTGTAAGTTCTGATTCAGTGGATCTGGGTTCGGGCCTAAAGATTCTGCATTTCTAACCTTTCTGTGCTTCCAGGAGAGGATCGCCAGGTGTCATGGCACACAATGTGGGTTCTGTACCCCTGGGATGGTGATGTTCATCTATAATTGCTAGGGAACCATCCAGAGTCCTCTCTGGAACAGTTAACTGATGTCCTTAATGGTAGGTTATATATATATGTATGCTTCTTTATTTTTAAATAATGGTGATGATAAGAGTTGATGTTAGACCCTTACCATGTGCCACATGCTGTATTAATGCTATATAAGGATTGTCTCATTTACTATTTATGATACCTTTGTAAGATAGGTATTGTTACTATTCCCATGTCTTAGGTGGTGACACTGAGGTTTAGAAAATATAATTTATTTAAAGTTGTACCACCAGGAGATCCCTGGGTGGCTCAGTGGTTTAGCGCCTGCCTTCGGCCCAGTGTGTGATCCTGGAGTCCCAGGACTAAGTCCCACATTCTCTGCATGGAGCCTGCTCTCCTTCTGCCTCTCTCTCTCTCCCTCTCTCTCTCTCCTTCTTCTTCTGCCTCTCTCTCTCTCTCTCTCTCTGTCTCTATTGAATAAATAAATAAATAAATAAAAATCTTAAAAAAAAGTTGTACCACCAATAGTGAAGAGTTACTTTGTTTAAGTCAGGATTCAAACAAGATCCACACATTGCACTTGGCTGATATATTTCTTGTCTTTTCTTAATTTATAAAAGTCTCCTCCCTTTTTTTAAAAGATTTTATTTATTCATTTGAGAGAGAGAGAGAGAGAGAGAGAGAAAGAGCATAAGCAGGAGAAGTGACAGAGGAAGAGGGAGAAACAGGCTCCCCACTGAGCAGAAAGCCTGGGCTTGATCCCAGGACCCTGAGATCATGACCTCAGCCAAAGGTAGATGCTTAACCAACTGGACCACCCAGGTGCTCCTGTTTGCTCATTTTTACAAACATTACAGAGCCAGTTTATTCATTTACTCTTTGAAAGGATCCAGTTTTCTCCACATGCCATTCTCCTCCACTACTTTCTCTTATGGAGTGGGTGCTCTCAGGATCATATTAGATATCAGAGGGCTCTTGATGAATACAATATGATATCAAAAAGATTGAGATCTTCTGGTGATATTTATTTCAAATAACTGTCTTTATCCAGTCTAGAGTGATTTTATCAAGTTCAGAAGCTCAGTATGTGCATGGATAGAGGAGGTCTTCATTAACAAGATTCTAAACAGTTTTTTAGAATAATAGCCTCCCAAATCCTATTTCTTGTGAAACTCCCCATGGTTCTATCTGTCTGTTTCCTGCCTCCCAAGTACCGTAGTTCCTGGCCAGAGAACACGAGGTTAAAGCTCATGTGTCTAACTCTTCCACACACATGGAAGATCAGAGCAAGTAGAAGTGAAAAGAGGAGATGCAGCACATGAACTGTCTCTTGCCTGAATTCCTTTAGATCTTCTTATGCATTTGATCTCATGGCTGTTTATAATGTGAACAAGTGACAAGGGGTTTTCAAATCTTAGAGTGCTGAAGACTTCCATGGAGAGTTTGTATAGAGTGAAGATTCCTGGGGTTAAACTCTAGATGGCTTGCTTCAGTGACTCTGTTTTCTCAATAAGACCCCAGATTTGGGGGATGAGTGGAGAATGTGGGCTCTGGACTACTGTGAGAGAAACACTACCCTCTTGATTTATTGTAGATAAATTGTGTGCCCGGTTGTTTCAAAAGTTTAACATCTGCCTTTGCTGCTATGAAGTGTCTTTGATCTGTCAACTGAAGCTTAGCTCTTGAATGTGCCTGTAGACCAAGTTTTTAGCTTGAAATCATTGTGTTCTTTGAGTACCTGTCATAAGCAGAAGATATAAAAATGTTTAGAGAGAAAACACAAATAGCTGAGTTGTTCAGCTCTACCTCAGGACTCTCAACCTAATATCCCAAGTTGCTGTTGAAAAAAATCAGACTTTATAGATTATATAGACTGAAATGTCAAACAGAGCTTTCCTCTTGGATGGGGTCCTTACTTCCATCATGCATCTGGCAGATTGTGCCTCTCTACTGGGTCACTTGAGTAACACAGTTGAGTTTTTCTCCTTTCGGGTAACCTATGCTGTTGCACAGGATATAGGTCCATAATTGATGCATGCAAAACTTTCTGTAAAATAAGTAGAAAGGAACACATTTTTTAGAAATTTATTTATTTATTTATTTATTTATTTATTTATTTATTTATGACACAGAAAGAGAGGGAATGTACACACGAGCAGGAACAAGGGCAGGGAAGAGGCAGAGAGAATCCTAAGCAGACTCCCCACTGAATGTGGAGGCTGACAGAAGGCTCAATCCCATGAGCCTGAGATCATGACCCAAGCAACATCAAGAGTTGAATGCTTAATTGACTAAGCTACCCAGGCATCCTGAAAGGAAAGGAACATATTATTGAGTGTATTTTTTTTTCTAATGAAACAAAGCAGTAGAGATTACCAGGTGTGATGAAGACAAGAACCATTGTTACTAATACAAGGCCTTTCTTATCCAGGGTTTGTAATTGCTGTTTGTTATCTGATCTTGGGCAGGCACTTATTGCCATTCATTAAGCTTGCCCTGATAGTCACACAATGAACACCTAAGCACTTCGATATTGGGTATAGATCATTGTTTCCAGAGGTCTTTCCTGATCTGTTTGTGTCAGCTGCCTTGCACCCTGTTGCTCCTGTGTCCCTCTGTGCATGCCTCTATGACAGCAGTGGTTTAATTCTCATTTGCTCTCCCATGTGTCCATCAGACAGTGGGCTGTTTGACAGTGGAGACTGCATCTCCAGAGCTGGTCACCATGCACTGAGTAGCTACCCAGTCACTATTTATTGCATGAATAAATGAATAAACAACTTGGAAATGAGGGACATAAGATTGCCCTTTAGACATTAAACTATGAAATCAATATGTCATAAATAAGAACTGAGTGATAATCATAATAATTAATATAGATCATTAAAATATTAAACATTATTAATATTGTTAATATTTATTGCTTAGTGCCAGACTTTATTATAAGATTTTTACATATTTTTACTTGTTGAATAATCGCTACTATTTAGATTTTCTCATAAGCTCAGATTTTTTGGAGTTAAAATTTAGTATGGATATGTTTACATACACATGGTTCTTTTTCATAAGATTTAGCAGTATTGATTCGGTAGTAGGCTTCAACTAGTAGTCACCTGTTTTATTAATAGCTAGTAGAAGAGACTTTGCCTCCTGCCTGGGGTTTGCATTTCATCTCCAGCTTCAGCAACTCACTCCAGAAGGCCAGCTCCTCCTGAGGCTGGACCAGCTGCTTTTTCATCAGGTACCAGGCTTGAATTAAGACTTAGATGATAGGGGCAGCCCCCCGGTGGCACAGCGGTTTAGCGCCGCCTGCAGCCCAGGGTGTGATCCTGGAGTCCAGGGATCGAGTCCCATGTAGGGCTTCCTGCATGGAGCCTGCTTCTCCCGCTGCCTGTGTCTCTGCCTCTCTCTCTGTGTGTCTCTCATGAATAAATAAATAAAAATCTTAAAAAAAAGGACTTAGATGATAGAGGAGTGACATCAGCAAGATGGTGAAATGGGAGTTTTCCACTGGCTTCGTCCCAAAGATCACCAATTTTGACAATCAATTCTGCATACAAGTGACTTATGGAAGTCCAGAGTCCAGTGGAGAAATCCCATCACACCAATGGAACAAGAGCAATAAATCCAAGATTGTATGCACTGAAGAGAATGAAAGGAACAGTTTCACTTTATCTGCATTATCCTTCCTCCAAAGTGTCATGGTTCAGTGCCAACTCAGACCTTCCTGGCTCACAATTTATCTAATGGGGGAACATGAGAGTATGTGAATGGGTATCTGGCTTCCCTAGTTGCATGGACACTGCCAGAGAGACCCACTTCTTTCTCACCTCATCTCACCTCATGAGGAGTGATGCATAATCTAGGAACAGGGAAAGGTGGGAAGTTAGCAGCCAGGGCTCTGAGAAGGCATCAATAGGACATGGATCTTACTAACCAAGATCAACAAGAAAACACAGAAAGATAATTCAACAAGATCAGGAAAACAATACATGGACTAAATGAGAGATAGAAATAATTTTAAAAGGAGGCAAACAAATTCTGGAGCTGAAGAATACAATGAATGGGATCAGGAACAAGACAAGGATGCCCTCTATCACCACTTCTATTCAACCTAGTACTGGAAGTGCTAGTCAAACAATTAGGCAAGATAAAGAAATAAAAAGGATCCAAATTGGGAAGAAAGAAATAAAATTGTCTGTACACATGACATGATTTTATGTATAGAAAACCCTGAAGACGCCACCAAAAAAATTGTTAGAACTAATCAATGAATTTAGTAAAGTTGTGGGATATAAAATTAACATACAATACTCAGTTGTCTTGATATATACTAACAAGCTATCAGAAATATTAAGAAAGCAATCCTATTTACAATAGCATCAAAAACAATAAAATGCTTAAGAATAAAATTAACTGAGGAAAGACCTGTAAAAGACCTGTACACTGAAAACTGTAAGACATTGTTGAAAGAAATTGAGGAAGACAGAAATAAACAGAAAGATATCCCATGCTCATGGATTGGAAGAGTTAATATTGTTACAATGTCCATACTACCAAAGCAACCTACAGATTCAGTGTAACCCCTAATAAAATTCCATTGGCATTTTTCACAGAAATAGAAAAAAAATCCCAAAATTTGCATGTAACCAAAAAAGACTCTGAGTGGGCAATGCAGTTTTGAGAAAAAGCAAAACTGGATGCATCACACATCCTGATTTCATACTATTTCACAAAGCTTTAACAATTGAAACAATGTGGCACTGACATAAAACAGACTCACAGACCGGTAACAGAATTGAAAGCCCAGATATAAACTCATGCATATATGGTCAACTAGTCTTTGACAGGGGTGCCAAGAACACAATGGGGAGAGAATAGTCTCTTCAACAAATGTCTTGGGGAAACCTGAATGAAACCATATCCCTATTTTATATCACTCACAAATGAACTCAAAATGTATTAAAGGCCTAAATGTAAGACCATAAATGTGAAACCATAAAACATAGGGGAAAAAATTCCTTGATATTGGTCTTGGAAATGGTTTTTGGATAAGAAGCCAAAAGCACTGACAACAAAAGGAAAAATAAACAAGTGGTATTATCTCAAACTAAAAATCTCCTTCACAGTGAAGGAAACAATCAACAAAATAAAAAAGCAGCCTACACAGTGAGAGAAGATATTTGCAAACTACTAACCATAGGGCATTAATATCCAATTATATAAGGAACTCATGCAACTCAATAGCAAAAATAAAATAAGTAATTTGATTTAAAAATGGGCAAAAGATCTGACTAGACAGTTTTTAAAAAAAAAAAAGACATACAGATGGTTAACAGGTACTTAAAAAGTATCCAGCATCACTAGTCATCAGGGAAATTAAATCAAAACCACAGTGAGATACCACACACCTGTTAGGATGGCTATTATCAAAATGTCAAAAGTTAAATGTTGGCAAGGTTATGAAGAAAGGGGTATCCTTATACACTTTTCATGAGAGTATAAAGTTGTACAGCTACTCTGGAAAAAAGTATGGAATCTCCTCAAAATATTAAATATAGAACCACCATAGGATTTGCAATCCCATTTCGGGGTATATATCTGAAGAAAATGAAATTAGTAACTCAAAGAGATATCTGAATTCCCATATTCATTGCAGCATTATTCACCATAGCCAGGATATGGAAATAACCTAAGGGCCCATCAACAGATGAATGTACACATTCATACACGCACACACACACACACACACATACTGCACAGAGGAATATTATTCAGCTGTGAGAAAGTAGGAAATCCTGGCATTTGCAACAACATGGCTGAATCTAGAGGACACTATGCTAAGTAAAATTAGCCAGATAGAGGAAGACAAATACTGTATGATCTTACTTACATGAAGAATGTAAAAAAGAAAAAAAGTTGGACTCATAGATACAGAGAGTATAATGGTGGTTGCCAGCGGCGGGGGATCGGGAGAAAGAGATGCTGGTTAAAGGACACAAGCCAAAAAAATTAAAAAAAAAAAAAAGACACAAGCCTTCAGTTATAAGATGAATAAGCTCTGGGAATCTAATTTACAGCATGGTGACTATAGTTAATAACACTGTGTTGTGTATTTCAAATATGCTGAGAGAGTAGACTTTAAGTGTTCTCACAACACACACACACACACACACAAGAATGGTAACTATGTGAGATGATGGATGTGTTAATTAAATCGATTGTGGTAATCATTTAACAAAGTGTACATATGTAAAACAATCATATTGTGCACTTTAAATATATAATTTTATTTGTCAATTATACCTCAATAAAGCTGAAAAATGGTAGAATCAGCAATAAATTGTTGATTATTTGTTTTTGCACCCACTAGACTTCTGGCTGCTGTCAAAGTAAAGAAAATGGGATTTGCCATTTGGATCAAGAAATAAATGAATTACCAGAATTTGAAGAAGTAAATAAGGTCAGTGAAATGTAAATTTTTTATAAGGTTTTCACAGGACATGAACAGAAACCAACTTACTTTTAGGAAGAATAAATAACTGCCCAAGTTGACTAATCATTTGATGCATTTCAACATGTCCCCTCTCCATTCTTCATCTTCATCCAAAAAAAAAAATTTCCGAACAACTTTATTCCTCATTCCAGATATTATTCTGGTTCAAGTACAACTATCCATAGAAGAGAAAACATATTAAAAAGAAGAAAGAAGAAGAAGAAGAAGAAGAAGAAGAATAAGAAGAAACACGTTGATACTTTAATGTCTCTTAGTTTAGTTTAGTTTGGTTTGAAAAAAAAAAAAAAAAGCTTTTTCAAGTCTTTTTTCCAGGGCTACTAGAAGCAAAGTGAAGATGTTAGGGAAATGGAAGAACTGGCAGAGGAAGAAGTGATAGGTGGCAATTTGGGGAAAAATTTTTGTCTCAGCTGTTGCTTGCCTCCTCTGCTTTCCCAGACTGCAAAGAGAATGTGCAAGAAGTTGAGTTTTGGGGGACCAGTGGCATCTGCACTGAGTTGCTAGAAACTAGGTCTGTATTAGAGCCCTCGACTTAGAACACAGAGATTGTGGCTGGCCAGTTGGCTTTTTGTCTGTCTCTGTATGTCTTTCTTCTTTTGACCTCATTCCACAAAGGATCTTTTTTTAAGATTTTATTTATTTATTCATGAGAGACACACAGAGAGAGGCAGAGACATAGACAGAGGGAGAAGTGGGCTCCTTGCAGGGAGCCCGATGTGGGACTCGATCTCAGGACCAGGATCACACCCTGAGCTGAAGGCAGCCACACAACCACTGAGCCACCCAGGCGTCCCTCCACAAAGGATTTAAGGTAGTCAGAGTTACCTGATGACAATAACTCCTGTTACTTTTTTTTTTTAAAGACAAGTCCAAAGCTCTTCTCAGAAGAGGAGTTTCTGCCATTGGATCCAACTCAAGAATCGGTTTTTCCTCCAGAGCTAATGGTAAGGTGAATTTGAGCTCATTCTAAAGGAATTCATGCTGAAATGCTTAGGAAGGGTATTTGCTTATGGATCTTCTCAGAAGTTGATTGAGAAATTGGTAACATCCATCTGCCATGGTTAATCCAAGGTGTAAAGAGTATGAGACTAGGGCAGCCTGGGTGACTCAGTGGTTTAGCGCTGCCTTTCAGCCCAGGGCCTGATTCTAGAGACCCGGGATCAAGTCCCACATTGGGCCCCCTGCATGGAGCCTGCTTCTCCCTCTGCCTTTCTCTCTCTCTATCTCTCTCTTGAATAAATAAATAAAATCTTTTTTTAAAAAAAGAGTGTGAGACTAAGAGAGAGATGGGTGAATGAGGGTAGAGCCATCATGAGGGGATAGTTGACTGCTAAAAGCAGCAGATTGTATCTATAAGAAAATGTCATGAAATAACATCACAACATTTATAAATGTAGACATGTTTCCAACTTCCATCTTTGTTGAAGTTTATCCTTCCACAGAATGAGTTTACAAAATTAAGCATATTACAATATTCTGAAAATTTTTTTTAATATTCTGAAACATTGAAATGAATTCCTTTGAGATATAAAAGCACCAAAGTAGATATATAGGAATGGTCTCCAGAAGGAATAGAATATTTTTATATGTTTAATCTGAACTCTGATTCCTTAGTAAAGCTTTACTCTTAGGTCACTTTTATTTTATTTTTTAAAAAGATCTCCATTTCCTTTCTCTGTTCCTACCAAAATGGGGTAGAAACAGGTGAAAGTGTTGTCATGAGATGATCTTGAGTCCCTCTTGCTTTTTTGACAGATAATGGCTGAGAAACAACCACAAAGGACTAAGATTTTTAGTGGTGATAGAATGACATGGATTTCTCCAGTGACCCTGAAGGAGCTTCTAGAAGCTAAATTCAACTATCCTCAGGCCCCTGTTGTCATGGGAAACACCTCTGTAGGTATGTAGAGCCCCAGGGACCTCTTATGAGGGAATTGAGGAAAAGGACTTTGGAGGAAAGAACCTCATCTATGCATGTTCTCTGGAAAAACAGTCTGAAAAAAGACTTTTAATCATTCAGACTCGACTTCCTCAGATTGCTCAAGAGACTTTCACAACTTCCATTACATAAGTAAATTCCGATTGCCTGCCATCAGTGCAGTGCATAGAGTTGCACCCAGGAGATCTGCTTCATAACAACTCAGAAGTAACAGTTCCAGTGACAGCTGTCCTTTCTTTCCATGTGGAGATTGATCTCAGGCTCATATTTGAAGTTGCTCTTTGTTTCCTCTTTTGGTGGTATCCGGATAGATATAAAATGGTTTTCTTACACCACAGTTACAGGGTTTTTCTATTGTGTCTGTTTTGTGAACTCAGTTTGCCTACTTCTTTGAAGAGTCTCTCAGAGTCCTCCCAAAGAGAATTTTGAGTGTGCCATAAGTTGTCTCGTAATAGTCAGCCAAGACTTACAGCTGACGAGTTCAAAGAGTCCTCCGAGTTCAGTGAAAGTCCATCTGGCTGGTTTCCGGGTGATTTGGCAATGAACAGATCAATAGAAAGATATGTAATTTTTGTGTATTTAAAAATAATTACTTTTTTTTTAGAGAGAGAGAGTGTGTGTGTGTGAGGGGGGAGGAGGGGTACAGAGAGACAGAGAGAGAATCGTAAGCAGACTCCACACCCAGCACAGAGTCCCCACACAGGGCTCAATCTCATGACTCAGGATCATGACCTGAACCAAAACCAAGAGTCAGACACTTAACTGACTGAGCCACCCAGGTGCCCAGAGATAATCACTTTTAATCACAACTTCAACATTTATTTTTTTCTAATCTTTTAGGGCCTGAAGTGAAATTTAAGGGCATCTTTCACCCAGTTATAATTTCTCCTGATAGAATTAAAGAACTGAATTTTGTGAACTGTTCACATAATGGTGAGTTCTTATGATCCCTGTTTTCTTAGTTCAAATTCATTAATCAATTTATGTCCTTTGTCCAGCAGGCAAGCAGGAAAAAAATTATTCCAAATTACAATATACAGAGATTTTCTCCTTATAAAAATGATAACATTCTGGAGGAGACCCAGGGAAGAACATGGAATACTCATCGTCTGAATAGTCAGTCTACTGAAAAAAACTTTCTGCCTGCCATATCAGAGAAATGTAACAACTATTCAGTGAAGAGTATTATGCTAAGTGCTGGATAGAAGATAAAGAATAGAACACAATCTTTGCTCTCTAGAAGCACAGTAGTAAGGAAAGCAGGTTTATGTATTAAGCAGCTTTCAGACTGGCCCATCTGTTTCCACAAAGGAAATTGATTTAATGACAATGATGAGAGGTAATATAAATGTGGGTGTGGAGTCTAGCTCTAGAGTCTAATTCTTGACTTTCGCATATTGGCTATGAGAACTTAGTCAAACTCTGAATCTCAATTTCTTCATCAGTTAAATAGGGCTATTGTCTCAAAGATTTCTTAAGATTCAAGGAGATTCTGGGAAGCATTCAGCATAGTAAAAAAAATTTGGCCTACATCACCTTTATCACCACCACCACCACCTCCACCTACATCACCATCACCACCACCTCATCACAACCATCACCTCCATTCACACAGGACCTCCATCACTACCACCACCACCTCCATCACCATCACAACTTTCATCACCACCACCACCACCTCTATCACAACTACCACCACCATCACAACCATCACCACCATCGCCTCCATTAACAACACTACCACCATTACCTCCATCACCACAACCACCTTCATTACTACCTCCATCACAGCCATTACTTCCATTAACACACTACCTCCATTACTACCACCACTTCCACTCCATCACAACCATCACTATCATCACCTCCATTAACAACACCACCATGACCACCACTACCACCTTCATCACCTCCATCTTCTCCATCACCACCACCGCCACCACCACCACTACCATCTCTAAGCAGGGCAGCGATATCCAGGAAAAAGATCCCATGTCTATAACTTTGGCCTAATGACATTTCCAACTCATCACTAATCACACTGCATTTATTTATAAATTATTTCACTTCAGGGCTGGCCTTAGGTGCTGGCCTAAGCCTGACTCAGGTGAAGGATATCTTGGGTGAAACAATCCAGAACTCCCCAGAGGAGAAGACACAGATGTACCAAGCTCTCTTGAAGCATTTGGGAACTCTGGGTGGATCTCAGATCAGGAACATGGCTGTATGTATTTGATGATGATAAACTCTGGCATGTGTGTCTGGAGTGACTATCTCTGACAAATCATGATACTTTAATTCTTTTGTAACAGACAAAAAATAATGATTCTCCAAAGCCTTGCTTAATCCTTAACTCTCACTTGTGTCTTTATAATTACATAACAGATATTGAAAATAGAACTCATTATTTTAAATAGTCTTTAGGGGGCCATATCGTGAGCAGGCACCTAGATTCAGATCTGAATCCCCTCCTGGCCATGGGCAACTGTACCCTCAACTTGCTATCAAAAATAAGTGACAACCCCTTGGAAATTACTAAACCTGCTCCTCTTATCCATTTTTTTCTCTGGGGAGGCAGGAGGTCCAGTTTTGAAAATGACTGTTCTTTGTAATATTAATAATTCTTCGCACCCTCGTGGATGCTGGAAGTTTGATCAATCTGTTCCTAATTCCATACACTTCCAATGTCTTCGTCACTTTCTTTTTGAGGCCTTGTGCTAGCTATTTTCCCATTCTGGTCACCCTAGTTGACCATACTTGTATTGGTTAGTGTCCTTATGTGACCTGAGTAGTAGAGAGAACTATAGGCTGTTAAAAACTACCGAGTGAGCCCCCATATTGAAGACTTTCTCCAGGTGGTACAGGGGGGTTGTGGCAACCTTGTCATATTGTGTGCTCATACTTAATTTTTGATGGAAGCCTACAGATCTTTTTTTGTTGAAAATGGCTGGACTCCATTCTGTATTTATGAGTTTTGTTTTTGAAACAAAAACAAGGGCTTTTAATATGTTTCTTTTTCCAACTTGGTTAATAATTATTGCTCATTGGTCCCCTATAAATCTGTTTTTATTTTCTTTTTTTTAATAAATTTATTTTTTATTGGTGTTCAGTTTGTCAACATACAGAATAACACCCAGTGCTCATCCCCGTCAAGTGTTTTTATTTTCATTTAAAAATATGGATTAGCCTTCTATTACCTGCCTACCTATGTTGTTAAATACCTACTCTTCATATCATCTGAACCACAAAATTACCTTTAGGAGGAAGGTTAGTATTCAGAGTTGTGTATTTAAGTAACATCCCTTTAAAACAATCATATGATGAGAAACATATTTTGTGATATGAATGTAAACATCAAAAGCTTCTTAACTTTCTTCCTAAAGTCATATTACATTATAGCTTTACGTGGTTCCACCCCCCAGTACATTGATTAAAGAACAGAAATTCTTCAGGTGCTGGAAAAAGACACAAAAAAAATAAGGCAGCACCTTACTAGTATAAATTTATTTAAGGCATTTTTTTATTCATTACTGAACCTACTAGGGTTCGTGGTTATAAACAATACATATTTGTTGAGTGACTTGATCAGATTATCAAGAAGGGTCTGATATCTACTGCCTCCTTACAAAGCTCAAAATGAATTGTGCTCATAATTGTGAAGAGGACTGTTCATGTGACTACTGGGCCACTCTGCTAGATATTTTTATTTATAAACAAGCAAAGAAGCAAACAGCACCACAAGTGGGACCTAGTCTGTAAGAAATACTACAAGATGTCATTGTAGGGGGGGCAATTTGCTAAGCATAGAAAGAACACTTCTTTTCCCAAACAACCAATTTCATCAGGTGTTTGGTAGAATTATTTCCAAAGTTTTTTTAACAGAACAGATTCCCGGGGAAGTGTCATTTCTTTCCACAGAAGGGAAACAACAGGTTCCTTTAAATGGGGAATTTCTCAGAAGGTGTCCCAACACAGATCTGAAGCCCGAAGAGATCTTGATCTCAGTGAACATACCCTACTCGAGGAAGGTGAGAATGTCCTTTCAGTCTCCTGGTTTTCCTGTGAGTTTACAGGAAATTGTTAATTCCTGTACAGGAAATTAATTCCAACATATAGTGAGTTAAGGACAGGTGCTGACTATTTGCAGGGGAGATTACAGTACTTGTTAGTAGTTACCTTTTACTTGTGCTATGCACTCCCCAACCATTCCTAGAATTGAGAGACCTTTGTCTCTACCATTCCCTCTCTGTCTCTCTGTCTCCCCTTGTCTCTCTCCATCCCAACTCTAAAATTACTTCCCTATAGATTTTTATAAATTCTTTCTCCCTTAAGGCTTTTTCTTAAAGAAGACTTGAAAATATGCTATACCTATATCTTGGGGTTTTAAAGAGTCAAAAAAAATACATTTTCAATAGAACTTAGGGGATAGAAGGACTTTGGACTCAAAGTGAACTCAGACTCAAGACTGGATCCTGGTTTCAAGATCTGTGACCTGAACTAACTACGGAATCACTCTGAGGCTCAGACTCCTTATTTGTAATATGAGAATAATCAAGCCTGCCTTGAAGGGTATAGTAGTTTGCTAGGGCTACCATCATAAAAAAAACATAAGCTGAGTGGCTTAAACAATAGAACTCTATTTTCTCACAATTTGGAAGGCTAGAAGACTGGTATCAAGATGTCGGCAAGGCTTGTCTTCAGAGGCTTCTCTCGTTGGCTTGTAGATGACCATCTTCTCCCTGTGTCCTCACGTGGCTTTCCCTCTGTTTATGTCCAAATTAACTCTTAGAAGAACACCACAATGTTAGATTAGAGCTCACCCTAATCACGTCATTTTAATGTAAATACCTCTTTAAAGGTTGTATCTTCAAAGTCACATTCTGAGTACTAGGAGTTAGGACTTTAACACATCCATTGGGGAGGGGAGGGGGGTAAGGTTCAGCCCATAACAGAAAGTGTGACAAGGTCCTGTGAGGCAGCATACATAAACTGTTTAGTGCATAGTTGTCACTCCTTATTTTTCTACAAGTGCCACTTAATTTTCGTTTTCAGTGGGAATTTGTGTCAGCCTTCCTTCCGACAAGCCCAGCAGCAACAGAATGCACTTGCAATAGTCAATTCAGGAATGAGAGTCTTTTTTGGAGAAGGGGGTGATATCATCAGACACTTATCCATCTCACAGAGATGTTGGTCCAACCACTGTCTGTGCAAAGAATTCCTGCCAGAAACTCATCAGAAGATATGGTATCATGTCCCTAGACTCCAAGTAATGGAGAAACTCCTTTTGTGATAACATACCATTACAAGAACAAAAATGCTTACTAGCTTTCTATTTAATGGCATGGAATTCCAGTAAGATTTCATTATTATTTCCATGTATCTTGATTATGATGAATCCTGAAGTGGGCATCATATAGTCTGTGTGTGTATAAAAGAGAAGAGGGGGCAGGGAGAGGGAGAAGGAAAGAGGGAACCCATCTCGTAATAGTACAGTAGACACAGTAAGCAAAATAAGAAAATATGCATTCTCTACCATGAGAGAATACTTTACCATGGTAAAAAATAGACTAGGGGGGTTTGTTTTATAATAAATTGCTAAAGTCATTTGCTTACATGACTTATCTTTGTAGATAATACTAATAGCCTATATTTCTGGAGCATTTGCTAGGTATCAGTTACCATTTCAAAAGTAAGTAGAGAAATGGTGGTTAAAGTATGAACTCAGTCAAACCCGATTAACTATGTGATCTCAGTCAGCCTACTTTACTTTCTAGTGCCTTTCCTTATCTGTCAAAGGGCAATAATCATCCCTACCTCATAAGATTAAATGAGTGAATGCATATAAAGTTCTTAAAACAGGACCAGGCATGCAGTAAATGCTCCTCTGATATAGGGGTTGGTTACCACTGGGCTAAGGACTTAACACAGGTCATCATCTCTTTCTTATGACCATTCCAGGTGGAGAGTTCTACTCTTTTTCTCCTTTTACTGATGAGGAAGTGATGGTCCTGGGACTGTGATTTAAATGTGGGTTGCCCAACTGTGGAGCTTACACTCTTATTTCCTGCATTATACTATCATTATTTGTCTCATACCCAAGCTGAGTCCATGAGGTAATGAGCCTTGTTGGCTAGGAGTCTTCTCTTTGATTCCCATAGGCCTTGGAACGAAGAGATGCTGGATGCAGCTTGCAGGCTGGTTCTGGATTAAGTTACCCTTCCAGGCTTAGCTCTGGGTGGGAAGGTGGAGTTCAAGAGAACTCTCATCATCAGCTTCCTCTTCAAATTCTACCTAGAAGTGTCACAGATGTTGAAGAGGATGGTCAATGGAACTGACCATGTATTGGCTTTCCCAGAACTGAGGGCTATGGTGATACCCAAAGTGGAGGCAACAACCTCCACTATGCCAAAGAGCTATAGAATAGAGGGAGACAACCCAAATTAAAGACACTTGGGCTTACTGGGAATCCTCCAGGCTGGCTACTGATGGCCTGTACACTTGGAGAAGATTCGCAAATAGAGCACAGAGTTGTGCAGGATTCCATTTAACACTACTCAGTTACTGTTTCTGACTGTTGTTTGGGTGGTATGCAGAAAGCTTGTTTGAACATATTTTCCTCAGTAGAACATCTCTTCCACTTGTGGAGGGTCACCATCCTGCATTTGACTTTCTTCTCTGGATTCAACTTCATTTCTCTCACCTGTAAGATGATGATGGCAGCCATTCCACAAGGTTATTATGAAGTGGGTCATCACAGGAAGAGGGCTCAGAGGAACATGGGAAGACTGCCTTGTAGCTGTCTTAGTGATAGTAGTGATAACCCAGGTCTCCCTTGTAAAAAATAGTTACAAGATTGTTTGCTAGGGAAGGCACAACTAGAAAGATTTCTCTGAATAAATTTTCTAGACCCAAAGGGACCTTGAAGCATCCCATGCTATAACCAGCTGACCAAATTAGACTAGAAGCCAAGAACATTCTTCATGTGATAGAGAACTTAGTATGATCACTTTAATAAGAGTCACAAAGTTTTCTCTTAATATTGCTTCTGAGTGTATTTTTTTCATTATACATGGATTTTCAGTATACATTATACTAAGAACCAGAGGGTTATATACAATTTCTGAAAATGGAAAATGGACAATGTGTAAGCGACATACTCTCACCAGGCAATCAAAAGAGGAAAAAAATAAACCCAATGTGGATTATCCCAATTAATAGCAATTATTACAATTTCTTGGGTGAATCAAGTGATATCACTTAAAGCTTCTACCTTGCAGTCTTATGTCTTCTATTTAACCTCCTCTAGTCAATATTTCTCTACTATTAAAAATAGTAGCCTTTGTTGGCTTTAATTTTACATTAAATTTTTTTAATTATAAAACATAACCATTAGGTGTGCTGTTTAAAGTCTTATTTAAAGACTCAGTGATCCATTTCTCTCAGTTCCAAGAAGTGTTCCTTCTAGGGACGCAGGAATTTTCCTCCTGTCGGGTTGTAGCAAGGATAGAGCCCTCTGCATTTTCCTTCCTCCCCCTTTGGCCAGGTGGTGCAACACAGTTTCACATTCATTTGCAATGGTGTGCTTTGGCTCTCACTTTTTCCCCAGCTTGAGTATTCTCTTCCTTTCATGTTATTTACCTCTCCCCTATCTTCCTATATTTTTGGTTTGTAAGTCCTCAAACCATTTAGGAAAGTATATGAGAGAATCATAAGCAGAAAGATGTTGGAAGTCCATGATCTATATTTACTTGGTTCTTCATAACGTAGAGTAGTATGTATGGACCTTCTAGAGCATGTGTCCTAGAGGTCAGGGAGCTGTTTCTACCTCCAAGGTTCTGCACAGATCAAGTACTTACTAAGTGTTAGACTTCCAAGGAGAGCTGCTTGTTAAGAATCATGGTAGCCTCCCTTCCAAGACCATTCTGGCCTATTTTAGATATCTACAATGGTTCTACTTTTCAGGATCCTGTTCACTATCCTAGCCTTACAGACAAGTATGAGAGTGCTTTAGAAGATCTTCATTCCAGACATCACTGCAGCATATTAAAGTACCAGGTTAGTGGCTTTTTTTTTTTTTTTTAATTCAGAGAGCCTGGCCTATAGCTTCTTCACCTGGACACTCCACTTATCTCACAGTGATTCTCAAGCTTTATAAGCTCCCCTTCTGGTGAACTCTGCATTTTTTGGTGTTAATTAAAATTTCAAACTCAATGAAAAATTATGACTAAAAATAAAACTAGCAATGGCAGTTTTTTAAAAATGTCTGTTTTGATCTTGAAGTTCATGTGTTTTGCTCTGTGGCCTTGTGCCACTGACAGGAATGAGCTGGCTAGCTTACCACACACTTCTGCCCTTGGCATTGCAGAAGTTGGAGCACAACCAAAGTCACATTCTGTGTCAGGGCCAGGGGGCTGCTTTGATTTTATTTATAGAGGAGCAGAAAACACAGCCCTTGGAAGTTGGTGAAAATGCAGTAATGGTTTTTTAAAAGAGCTACTGATTTACTTTTTTTTTTTTTTTAATAAAGAAAAGTGTCTGCTTCTCCAGTCTCTATTCTCCAGGTATCTTTTCTGTGAGTTACATTTAGAGTTGACTCTAAGTTCTTTTTTTTAAAAAAAAGATTTTATTTATTTATTCATGATAGTCACACACAGATAGAGAGAGAGGCAGAGACACAGGCAGAGGGAGAAGCAGGCTCCATGCAGGGAGCCCGACGTGGGATTTGATCCCGGGTCTCCAGGATTGTGCCCTGGGCCAAAGGCAGGCGCTAAACCGCTGCGCCACCCAGGGATCCCCCTAAGTTCTAAGAGCTATTAAAAACTCTCCTAATGAAAGCTGACTATTAGAACAGAATTCCTCATGACTTTCAAATGGAATTTTCTACTACAGCATCATAGCAATATGACCTGAAGTCATCCTGTTGGTAAACTGGATAAGATTGATGTGTTTTTCCTTGAAATTATTGTCAAGAAACTTTACCTTGAGAGTTTTAAGTCCAGAATGTGATGAGGCTTTTTAAAGCATCAGTTCATTGAGTCTATTGTTGGATTTAGTTGTAAAAGCTGACAGTACATCATAATGAATGTTGCAGTTGGTATATATCTCTTGAGGGTTTAGGTTCAGTGTGTTCAAAAATTCAAGGACACCAAACTCCATTGAAAATGATGATATTAAAAGTTTTGAAAAGCTTCCGTCTTTCCTGGTGTTCTACAAAACATGGAAGCTGCCGCCCTTTGCTTATAGATACCCTAGTGTTACCTTGACAATGGAAGAAACCTCAGAAAGGAACAACAACAACAACAAATCAATAGGCATTCAGATCATCCAAAGGAAAGTGATAATCTTCACACGATTGGTAATCATAAAAGGAAGCTTGTTGTTATAGATTGCAAGGCTGACTTTTGGAAGCAGTTTATCTCCCACACAGATGAGTTTTCTTTTTGTTTTCCTGTGGTTTTACACACACACACACACACACACACACACACACACACATATCTGCATTGCCAGAGCATCTTCAGCACAGGAAAAATCTGACAAACATTTTTCCCCAAATCAGTTCATTTGCTTTGAAAGCATTTTGCCATAGCTTCAAGAGATCACCCATTTGAAGAGACAAATTCATTCCTCCATTGTACCTTCAGCCACATAACAAGCAGAAGGTGTCAAGTCAAGTACAGCCTCTTTTAATAGTAGATTCACCCAACTGACGCCCCCCCCCAAAAAAAAAGTGTTGCATCTTCAGCTAAAATGCTGAACATGTTTTCAGATTTCATGTGCCACTCTCCTTTGCCTTATTGATGTAGGCCTGCCTCCTGCCTAGACAGCCTCTGATCTATCTCAAGCCAAAGGTTTATTTATTGAGTCCTTCAAGTAGGTTGACAATGAGCCAGGACCACTCTTCTCAAGTCCTATAAGCAGCGGAAGGCATTGGAGAAGTAGTGTGTATTTCAGTTATCTTTATCCTGGAATTTCCACCACCCACACTCCCACCACCGCCTCCTTAGCAGCCAGAGCCTTCATGCTGAACTCTGAGCCTGGCCTCTGTCCTATCCCTTAATTCCTCTTTCTTCATGCATCCAGTTCTTCTCCCAATAACCAACCTACTAGGAAAGCTAACAACTCTCTCATATTTGAAATAATGGGGAAGACATTATGTTTCTTAATGTCCACTTTGGTCAATGAAGCTTATTAAAGGTATTTAGAGACCATAGCAAGACATTTTATTCCATGGGTCTTTAAGAAAGAGTAGCATTAGTAACTCATTCCTCAAAATGCAGGTCCCTTTGTCTTCATTCTTTATCAGGATTGTCTAAGTTACGAGTTTTACCCATTATTTCTTAACTTCTTGCTTGGAATAGAAAAAAAAATAGGGTTCTTCTTGTTGACAGCATGCCCTCGATATTTTGTAAAACATAGTCACAATGTCAGAATGCTCTTCTGAAAAACATTATATATGCCATTGCTTAGATACAACAGTAAAATAATTTTGATAATTAAATTGAAAGAAATATGGGGTCCTGGGTGGCTCAGAATTAAGCATCTGCCTTTGGCTCAGGTCATGATCTCAGTGTCCTGGAATTGAGCACTGAATTAAGCTCTCTGCTCAACAGAGAGTCTGCTCCTCCCTCTCCTGTCCTTCCTGCTCATGATCTCTCTGTCTCTCAAATGAATAAATACAATCTTTAAAATTGAAGAAATATGTGAGTGTTAACAAGAGGGTATCATCTCACATTTTTAAGAAGAAATATTTATATTCATTTGCTTACATAAATGGGATTTGTATTAGAGATATTTATGTTCTATATTCAGTAAAGGTGGGGGGAAAAAGAATGATGTCATAACCATACCTCCCAGTTTGCCTACTGTATTATTGAAATAGGCTTTTGTCCTAGGGTTATTATTAACAGTGAATATTTTCAGTTTAAAAGTGTTCTGGTTTGGATGTAAATTATATAGCTACTCTCTTATGGGAGAAGTGCATAGTATTATAAAAATGATCTGTTAACCAATAATGATCTGTTATTGGTTAAACAGAGTGCAGACTCAAAGCAGCTTCCTCAAGATACAATTGGCCATGCTATCATGCATCTGTCTGGTATTAAGCATGCCACGGGGGAAGCCATCTACTGTGATGACATGCCTACAGTGGACCGGGAACTCTTCTTGACTTTTGTAACAAGTTCGGGAGCTCATGCTAAGATTGTGTAAGTGATAAAGTTGCTAATTAGATGTTAATGATTGCCTTTTCATCCAAATCACATTAGTGATAAGTAATGGTACAAAGAGGACAGGCTATTTGTTGGCAATATCCAATGTAGCTTGGGAGGGATATTAGATCAAAATGTAGGATTTACTACAATTTTTCCCTCCATATACAGTTGACCCTTGAACAACATGGGTTTCAACTGTGCAGGTCCATTTATATGTGGATTTTTTAAATGTCAGTAGTATGAAAAACATTTTCTTTTCTCCATTTATTTTCTTGTAAAAATATACGACACGTAAAATACGTGTTCATTCACTGTTGATGCTATTAATAAGGCTTCTGATCAATAGTAGGCTATTAGTAGTTACGTTTTAGAGGTGAAAAGGCTATATGCAGATTTTCAACTGTGTCGGGGATCAGTACCCCTAACCCTTGCATTGCTCAAGGGTCAAATTCACTCATTTCAAGTAATAGCTTCATTATCCCAGGAATTTTTTCCCAGTTGTCTGGCAGAGAACTATTAGAGCAGCCAGCCAGTCACTGGATGTATCTTAACACTCAAATATCTTATTCTCCAATTAAACATGTTCTCCATGGTCTTCAGGCAAGAGGGCTTCTCTGAGGACCTGCTCTGTGTATTCTCCTCTAGGTCTATTGATCTGTCAGAAGCTCTCAGCCTGCCTGGAGTGGTGGATGTTGTGACTGAGGAACATCTTCATGGTGTAAACTCCTTATGCCAGAAGGAGAAACTTCTGGTGACAGAGGAAGTACTGTATTTTTGCTTTCTGTTTCAAAAATAATTTCCTCAGTTAATGGCCTTACATATTTTTTTTAAAGATGGCATCAAGGGATCCCCGGGTGGCGCAGCGGTTTGGCGCCTGCCTTTGGCCGAGGGCGCGATCCTGGAGACCTGGGATCGAATCCCACGTCGGGCTCCCGGTGCATGGAGCCTGCTTCTCCCTCTGCCTGTGTCTCTGCGCCTCTCTCTCTGTGACTATCATAAATAAATAAAATTAAAAAAAAATAAAGATGGCATCAAATTTGGCACATCATAAAGAATTCCAATAATTCTTTGATACACCATATTCTAATGGTGAATGAATTCAAATATATTCATTTTCCATACAAGAAATGAAGTTGTCCAGTACTATAAAAGATACTTGGTGTTTTCCTATTTTCTGGTAGTAAGACAGTGTGCTGCTAGCATGTATGAAAGGTAAATGAAGAGAGAATAATGATAACTTTTATTTGTTAACCTTTCCCCTAAGAATCCCTCACCATTGCCCTAGGCTCAGTGTCCAAGTCCAAGTTCAAGTAGTATCTCCACCATGAAGCCTTTCCATATCCTTTTTTTTTTTTTTTTTTGAGAGAGAGGAAAAGAGGGAGCACATGCACAGGGTGGGAGGAGCAGAGAGATAGAGAAAAGAGAGAAATCTTAAGCAGACTCCATACACAGTGTGGAGCTAGACTCAGGGCTTGATCTCATGACCCTGAGTCATGACCTGACCCAAAATCAAGAGTTGGATGCTTAGCCGACTGAGTCACCCAGGTGCCTCATTTTTATGCCTTGATACAAGAATTCTGTCTCCCTCTCTGAACTCAGTCTGACTCATTCGTTTATACTACGATGTATTCAACAGGCATTTTTAAGTGAGCATCCAACGTGGCTGACCACCATAGCTGAGCAAGACCCAATTGGCCCTTACCCTCACAGAGCTGAAGGTCCAGAGGAGAAGGTGAAGTGGACCTTTAATGCCCTTCCTGCAACGTACTAAGCTTACTTAGTTACTCCTTTGTCTTATGTATTTCTCCTCCCTAGTAAAAGTCCTTGAGTCAAGCCCCATGTCTGATTCATCTGTATATTCCACACACTGCTTCCCATGTAGCAGGACAGAGGAACAATGATAGCACTGTTGCCATTTGAAGGTTTTGGGTGATTCAAAATGATTTGGCTATTGTATCTTAGGTTCCCAGGAAATGCAACAAGGGCAGCATCCAGCAGGTTTTCTGCCTAACTCACACTTCTCAGTTCAGTGTTTACCGAAAACAGTTTTATCATTTGACGGAGTCCCTACATCTGGCTCTTGCTAGCTGATTTAGTTGATAAAAATGCAAGTTTGATGACTGAGTGTGAAGTGGAGATTGAAACTCTCCCAAGGCAGGCCTGTGTGGGACTAGCAGAAGACATTGAGAATTACGGCCTTTGCAAAATGTTAATTAGACAAGCAAAACCATTCTGAGCTGCACAATGGTACTTCCTCTGGGAGGTGTGCACATGTTGATTATGAGCATCACAAGGGCAGGTCTGCGTGCCGGGTCACAGGGGCAGAACCAGGCCTCTGTGCAGAACTCCTTTTTTAAGTTATGCCTTTAAAAATTATTTTCATTGTAGAAACTTTAAACATATATAAAAATAGAGAATAATACAATGAATCCCCAAAGGCCCATCACTCAGTTTCAACAACTGTCGACATTTTGCCATTCTTCATTTATCTCCCCATTGTTACCCGCCCCCCAAATCACACTCAACAAATACACTTTTGTGTGTGTGGAATATGTCTAGATTTAACTTTTTACTATCATTTTTTCTGACAACAAAGCCACTATGTGCTCATTGTAGAAAAGATTTAGTAGTTTAAATCGATTTTAAAATGAGTGATTAAATCTGAATTGTGATCATGGTATAAGGTGAGACAGAACTGAGCAATCATGGTGAATTCTTCTGGTCTTATTTTACCTTTCTGGAGCCTTATATTCTTTTCTCCCATCAATTTTCTGCCCTTATCCTGTGTGAACTCTTTTAGGCCAACTACCTCACCTGGAGGTGAAACGATGAAGGGGATGCTCTGTGCTTGCTTATGTCTTGGCGAGTCTAAACTCAGTCTCTTTGTGAAAAGCCTGTGCTCCACCATGGTTTGGGGCAGAGATTTGCTCACCAGCAGTGTTGTGTTTTCATTTTCTCCCTCCCTTGTCTCTGAGGAGGTGGGCTATCACCCTCTGGTACTCCGTCTCCAGATGCTGCCTCTCAGGATGGCCTTGATCATGGTGGCAGCCACAGGTTGAGCCATGTGCCTGGCTCTCCCAGACCAGCTGGCCCTCCGCCCCTCCACAGCCCCAGTGGGTTGGCCTGAGCCTGAATCTGCCGTATGACAGTCACTCTTGCCCTTTTTCAGCCACTTTTGCTAGTGATGCAGCACAAAGACCTGAATTCCCCTTGTGCCTGGGTGTTGGTTCTCATTGGTCCCTGTACACACAGGGCAAAAAGAAACTACTGAAAGAGGCAGACCACTCTGGCTTGGTAGGTAGTAGTTTTAATAAGAAAGGGAACTTGTGGGGAAGCCTGGGTGGCTCAGTGGGTTAGTGCTGCCTTCGGCCCAGGGCCTGATCCTGGAGACCCGGATCCCGGGCTCCCTGCATGGAGCCTGCTTCTCCCTCTGCCTGTGTCTCTGCCTCTCTCTGTCTGTGTCTCTCATGAATAAGTAAATAAAAACTTAAAAAAAAAAAAAAAAGAAAGGGAACTTATGAGGCCTGTCTTGGGCAGCCACAGGGCTAGTTGACGTCTGCACCCATCTACCTTCATTGGTATGTAAAGGGCCTTCACTGGGTTCAGTCATGTGAGCCATCCAGATGATCTGTACCACACATTACTCTCTCAAGGCTCCATCCTTAAAACAGCTCCTAGTGTGGAAACTGTACCTTCTAAGGATAGGGAAGGAGTGAGGAACCTGCATTTGCCTGGGTCAAACTCAAGAGTCAACCAGTGATCACATCTTGTCAGTGACCTCCTCCAGCACCGAGGTCACCGGGCCAACTCTGACAAATGCACTTTCTTACCAGGGTCCTTGTTATCAGCTGCACTGCATGTGCAAAGGGGGTTGTTTACTCTGTGTCTCGCTCTGTGCTAGGAGGGAGGAGGAAAATGAATGAGAGGACCTGGTGCCTGTGCTCCCTGAGGACAAAAGTCTTTTTGTGTTGTAGGTATTCTGTGCGGGTCAGCTCTTCTGTGCCGTGATTGCAGATTCTGAGGTTCAGACAAAGCAAGCAGTCAAACAAATGAAGATTATCTACCAAGATTTGAAGCCACTGATCCTGACCATTGAGGTAATGAGTTCAAGGGTAGCGCCAGGAGAACACATTTCGATGGTGTAACAGTTAAAATGCTTTGGCTACAGTAACAGGAAAGAAAATTTGACTCAAACTGGTGTCTAAAACATAGGGGCTTGGGATCCCTGGGTGGCGCAGCTGTTTAGCGCCTGCCTTTGGCCCAGGGCACGATCCTGGAGACCCGGGATCGAATCCCACGTCGGGCTCCCGGTACATGGAGCCTGCTTCTCCCTCTGCCTGTGTCTCTGCCTCTCTCTCTCTCTCTCTCTCTCTGACTATAATAAATAAATAAATAAATAAATAAATAAATAAATAAATAAATAAATAAATAAAAAAAACATAGGGGCTTTGTTGGCCTCAGACTTTATCAGTGTTAGCAAAGAACCTGATTTTGTGCCTCTGCTCTCTGCTGCCCACAGTCCAGGCCTTCTGCCCTGTAGTCACGGAATGGCAGCCAGGAGCTTCTCGTCCATGTTCAGGGAGCAAGAGAGAGACCATTGTCCCAGCATTGTAAGCACGAGTCCTGAGATCCAGGTTTATCAGGCCAATTAGGTCACGTCCATCTCTGAATGAATGATTGGCCAGGGGAATGGAGGACCTGTTGGTTACTGCTGGGGGTTAGATTTTTTTGAAGTGTATGGGCTGCAGGGGGGTGGAACTGAGTGGGGTAGCGATGGAGATGTAAACAGAAATCTGATCACTGAAGGGGACAGGTGAGAGGAATGCTGCACTGGCAACCAGTGATGTCCAGGACAGTTGGCACACCTTGCAGGCCTGAATTCACCTTCACCCTGACTCTCTCGGGTGTGTGCAGGAACCAGCAAGATGCTCTGTGAAGCCAGTATTGGAGATAGCATTTTTAGATTCTCCAGTGCGTATCTTAAATGAGTATGAAGAATAGATCTTATGATGCCTGTAGGTATTTTGGCAACTTAAACAAATTGGAGTATTGCATTTTCTATCATGTTTTTTAGAAAGGAGTTAAGAGATCTACAAAGATTGTACGAAACCATGAAATGACAGGGTGCTCTGCATCTATTGCATTGGCTCTTATGATTTACTAAATAATGAAAGCATGCAAGTTGGGAAAGCAGCATGAATAGATTAGATTCAGCAGACAGGCGCTGTGGACTCTGGGAATACATTATCTTCACAACGAAATGAATCTGTTGTCCTCTAGGTGACTAGCATGCCCTGTGGCAGGGAATGAGAAACTGACTTGGCTAAGATTAGTGTCTCTAGGAGAACTTGGCCTAGGGTGTATTTCCCATCATGCTGTTTTATTCCTAGGAATGTAGCATTTGTTTCTGGACAGTGTCCTCAGTATTTTAAAATTAAAATAAAAGTATGTCAAGATGACAAACATTTAGAAGTTAAGTTGGAGTCAAGGAGTGATAAAGCTTCCCAAATTTTCCTGGCCAGTTTCAGATTCAAATATTCTCATCCCTTCTTAGTCAGATGTTGACTACCGTGCTTGCCTACCTTATACACAAAATGTTCCCCAACATTTTGTTTTAGAGTTACTTCTAAATAAGAAATGATTTCGTAGTTGCTTCTTCATAAGAAATTATTTACATGATACTTCATCAAAATGTTATTTATAATCCTTTGCCCAGTACTGGTGGCTAAATATCTTCCCTTCCCTGCCCCCACCTTCTAGCCAAATAAAATTCCAAACAAGCAAACAGATGCCACTCTTTCCTTGCCCTCCGTCCCTCCAACTGGCAGATCCCCAGTTGTTTGCCAGTGAATACCAGCATCGAACACCAAACTTTGACATGTGGGGAAGAGCTGCCTCACATTTTTATCAGAGTTCAAGCTCTCCAAGGTCAATCTACTAAGAAGGGAGTGGATTTAACCAAAATTTTTAGGGGGAAAGACACCCAACTCCATACACATTACAGTTCTTCAATCACTTTTTTGACCAAGAAATATTTGGGAAGTTGTCTCAAAGTTACTCAAAAAACAAGTAGCAAGTAAAGAGGGAAAATTTATAAGGTGTAACTTCTGTTTTCAACCTGGAATAGATGAATCTTAGATTACTATGAAAGGCATATAAATTCATCGTAAGAAGAAACTGTGTTATCAATCTAAATAAGATAAAAATAAATGTATCGCTGTCACTAACACTGATGTTTAACTAAGCTGATGCTTTTTAGAGTGCTTCGTAGTTTGAATGGGGAAACTCTATCAAAACTCTTGGCTCAAGGGATCAAGTTGATGACCATGGTGAGAAAAATATGCTCCCGACCAGAAAGTCCTGTCAGTCATCATGATCAACGATATGACCATAGCCAACACCTATACAGAGTTCGCCACAGGTCAAAGCAGGTTTTATACACTAACTCACTAAATGCTCACGACAACCCCGTGAGGAAAACCTGCTATTGTCTTCATTCTGATAAGGAAACAAGAAGACAGGTCACACAGCTAGTCACATAGCTGGTCAGTAATAGAAGCAATCAACAAACCCTCTATCAAGGAAGCTGAGTCCCACAGTGGTAAAAACAAATGAACCCACTGTTTGAATGGAGGAAATGGCAGGATCACAATCCATCAGCCCTGTAAGGTGTTCTGATAGGTCTAAACATCTACTAGTGGCCAGAGGGAACGAGAGTTAGAATAATTCCTGTCAGCAGGCTGGAATTTCACGGATGGACAATAACCTGTGGTAGATAATGTTGGCAGGAGCTGGTACGTCACATTTGCCAGTGGATGCAGGGATTATGGCAAAATAAATTCCTAGAATAGCTAAGAAAACCAGCCTACATTATTGTAGCTACATCCTTGATTATGTGTACCTACCACTGTCTCCCTTCGCTGGGCACCCAGGGGAAGCAGTAGGATCCAGTGTGTAAGTGGATTTGTGGTACATAGACTGGGCTTGTAATAGAATCTCAGTTCTGGGGCTGGAGTCCCAGGTGCCCCACTGCCCTGTGCAAATGCTGTGCTCAACCTCCCAAAAGAGGAGTGTGGAGCTGGCAGGCAGGCCTACCATGATCCTTATCACTAGAATGTCTTTGGCCAGCATTTACTGAGCATTTATTATATGCCATGTAAGCTCTTTATATGTCTCATTTCATTTTATCTGCACCACAATTTTATTGGAGCAATGTGCACAACTGTATCTCCATTTTACAGATGGGGCTCAGAGAGAAATAATAAGCCCACAGTCAAACGGTAGTAAATGGAGAGACTGGACACAATTCTGACTGGGTCTACAGTCCAAGCTCTAAACCCAGGTGCCATGTGGCCTTGGCTGCATAAAATGGGTTGTGGAATGCATAGTACAGTCTTCCTGGAAAATACTAGTTCCACTCCGGGACCACCTTACATGCTGGGTTTTTTCCTGAGCATACCCTCTTTTGACTCAACAGGCACATTTGTATTTACTCTGTGAGGAGTCTCTCTGAAGGCTGGTTCTTAGCTCAGGTCACTGGGATTGTGCTGGATGAAAGTGCATGGGACTCCGGAGCCAGGGAGATACTTCCTCCACTCAGATGCTGCCCCAGTGCCAGTGGCTGCTGCCAGAGAGCTGGGTCCCTCGCCCACAGAGCCTCAATTTTCTGTTCTTTCTAGGAAGCCATACAGCATAACTCCTTCAAACCAGAAAAGAAACTGGAATATGGAAATGTTGATGAGGCATTTAAAATGGTTGATCAAATTCTAGAAGGTAGAGCTATCTGAAAAAAGTAATGAGAGGGGAAGGAGCCCTGGAAGGCTTCTAAGCCTTTGCCTTTTAGAAATCATCTAGAGGGATGTCTGGGTGGCTCCGCGGTTGAGCGTCTGCCTTTGGCTCAGGGTGTGATCCTAGTCCCAGGATCGAGTCCCACATCGGGCTTCCTGTGAGGAGCTTGCTTCTCCCTCTGCCTGTGTCTCTGCCACTGTCTCTCTCTGTGTCTCCATGAATGAATGAATAAATAAATAATCTTTAAAAAGAAAGAAAGAAATCATCTAGAAATCAGCCTAGGTGGATATTGCTCCTTTGGACCAGGCACTTCATTCACAGATGTGTGTGTGTGTGTGTGTGTGTGTGTGTGTGTGTGTGTGTGTAGACCAGAGCAAATAAATAAATAATCTTTAAAAAGAAAGAAAGAAATCATCTAGAAATCAGCCTAGGTGGATATTGCTCCTTTGGACCAGGCACTTCATTCACAGATGTGTGTGTGTGTGTGTGTGTGTGTGTGTGTGTGTGTGTAGACCAGAGCAGGGAGGCAAAGTGGGAGGCACAGCCCCCTGTACTGTGCACTGACCACCTGCCCCATCATGGCCTAAGTTTTTACATGATGTAGTCTCTTTTCCTGTTCATAACCACTCTGCAGATTGGGAAAATGAGGCTCAGAGTGCTTACGGAGCATGAACACAGTCATACAACAGCTACTAAGTGACAAAGCTGCTGAGTGAATTGATAGCTCTTCTTCGGATTTCCAAAGCCCATGTTTCTTTCTCTTCCATCCTTTCTCTCTGACTTCTCCCTCCCTTCCTTCCAGACTTCCTTCCTTATGTTCAGTTAAAATGAAATTTATCTCTTAGAATATGGTTGATTTGAATTTTCCAATGAAATTTTTATAACTTTTTATTTTGAAATGATTTTAAGTTTTAAGAAAACTTGCAGAAACATTAAAGAAATTCCTAGTAACTATTGAGATTCCCCGATTATTAACACTTTACTACACTTGCTTTACCATTCTCTCTTTCTGTACACACATACACACACACACACACACACACACATTATTTTGGAGCCATTTGAGAGTAAGTTACAAGCTTGTTTACCCCTAGATACTAGTGTGTACTTCCCAAGGGCAAGACTATTATCTTACTTAAATAGTTATCAAAATCAGAACATCAGGGGCACCTGGGTGGCTCAGTCAGTTGAATGCCTGGCTCCAGCTCAGGTCATGATCCCAGGGTCCTGGGATGGAGCCCCACGACAACTCTGATCCCAAGCTCAGAAAGGGTCCTAAGACATACTGTCCTTCAGCATATTGCCAGAGCTGTGTCAGGTGTATTCAGTCCAACCACTTGAGGTCAAAGCCCAACATGTTTCTTAACTCCACAGCTGTACTAAGCCTGAATGTGGTCATGGGCTCCCTGGATGATGTCACCTGGAAGCTGTAGAAAAGACACCTCGCCCCATCACCCTGCCAGTATTCCTTGGCACACTGTCTTATTAGCTTCCCAGGGGCCATCTCCTTGCTTTAAAATTATATGAACAAAATAATCCTGATCTCAAAGATCTGTTGTGAAGATCCTAAGAGGTAACATAAGTGTGCTTGGCATAGAGCTTGGCGATCCATGACGGTGAGCGATAATTACTACTAGGCTTAGATGTTCTTGTTGTTCTCTGGACAGTATTTTACCGTCTGCTGCTGAGCTAACACCCTGGCAGGTGCTCATTTAGCACACCCGGTGTTTCCCGGTGTCTCCCAGTATGAGACATTTGTGAGACCTGCCTGGAGATTCCTGTGCCTTCCTTTCTAGAATTCTGGAATTAGAGGATCAGGATAGCACAGGAATATGCTCTTGACAAGTTTTCACAGGGCTCCAGGTGATTCTTCAGATTAGTGAAATGTGGCAAACACTTGAAGGATGGATGAGTCTGTTTTCTGGGAGAAGAGGAGGGAGCATTTTTATTTAGCATAAAGAGATGATGGCGTGAGCATCTTGGAAATAATCCATTTTTAAAGAGGTTCTTCCACTTGCCTCTCTTCTTGCCATGTGTGTTTTTGTGTGAATTCAATCGGTGTTCTTTCCCTTAACATCTTACTCATTTAATGCAGTGAAGTAATTCATTCAGTCTGTCTCTTGAATTTTAATTTGTATACTGGCCCTTGCCGCATCGATAAATGTATAAGTGATACAGGATGGTTTAAAAGGGATGTTCATACGACTTTTAAGTTTTCATCTTCTTGACTCACTAGTTTGAGGTATTTTTTTTTCCCTACAATGCAATAGTCAAGGGCAGCCCTGGTAGCGCAGCGGTTTAGCACCGCCTGCAGCCTAGGGCGTGATCTTGGAGACCCTGGATCGAGTCCCACGTCAGGCTCCCTGCGTGGGGCCTGCTTCTCCTTCTGCCTGTGTCTCTGCCTCTCTCTCTCTCTCTCTCTCTCTCTCCCTCTCTCTCTCTGAATAAATAAATAAATAATCTTTAAAAAAAATAAATGCAATAGTCAAGTGAATGATGAGTTTTGGCCACTTATTTCAATGAGAAGTAACCGGAGGTGATAGCCACTTTTTCTGCCTTTTAGGAAAGTAGGTGCTCTAAGAAAAACAAATATTTAAAAGAGAAAAATATGTGGAGCACTAACTATATCAAGTCTTAGACTGTGTTCTAGAAGGGAGCGATATTACTGTTTATTTTTATCCCCTGTGAAGATGTATTTTGCCCCTTGCTAACCCTGAGGTCAGAGCGCTGGAAGGGCATTAAGACCCCCCATTCGTAAACCAGCGGAGGCTGGGAGGCGTGCGACTGAGCAGGAATCAAACTGATCTAATTTCCCAAACCTTAGGTGAATGTCTCTCTCTACATGATACCACTTCTCATTTTTCTCTTTAAAATTCCGTTAGCTGGGATGGGCTTTCCACTGGAGAGCACAGAAGGCAATCTGTGCAGCAGGATTTGCAAGAGATCTAAGAGCCCTGAAACCGAGATTATCTTTCCCACATCCTGTCCTACTGGGCATAATACAGATAGACTCCTTCATATCCTAATGGCTTTTCAGTCTTTAAGGGCTTCTTATTAAAATGGAAATGTGCCTGAAGGAATCACTCCTAAAGGCATAGTGGAATAATGTTTTATCTCAGGGATTAGCTGATCAAATTAGTTGATCAAATTAGTTGAGAGCAACACCCTGAGAGGAAGAGAGGGAGGGCCCTGTGCGGGGAGGGCTGCAGGGTGGACATGCAAGGTAACAGGGTTCTAAAACTTTGCTTGCTTTGCAGATGTGAGCAGAAGCAGCTCTAATAGTTTTTAGCATTTCTGAGAGACAGGTGGGAACACTAATATTGTACACTATGAATGTGAGCCCACTGACAAGTGGATTTTTCAATGTGTCAATGTGTGATCTTTGATAAAAGCGTGCATTAAAATTGAGATTTGGATTTTTGACATTTTAATTTGTATATTTTATAAATGAAACATAATCTCATTTTTCTATATTTCTCTCTTTATTCAGATTTTGGATAAGCTAGGAAACCCAGACTCCAATACAAAGGATTTCCCTGGGAATCTGCCTTAAACCATCCGCAAATCACTGTTATTGGATACACTTTAAATTTTTTAAAGTTCTGCCTTTTACCTAAATGGTGGCTCATCATAATTGCATTCTGTTTTTTTCTCTCTGTTTAATTTTTTTCCCCTTTGTCTTCCAGTGCCTTAGTTGAATATTTTTCAGAATTCCAATTTGATGTATCTCTAGTGTTTTGGGTGTATCTCTTTGTCTAGTTTTTTTTGGCGGTCGTTCTAGGTGCAAATTTTACGTATACATAATATATATTACAATATATCTGGTAGCAACATTTTACCAGTTTGCGTATAAAAATCTTAACTTTCTTCACATCCTTTTACTCTCTCTCATTTGTAATAGTCTTATTAAATTTCCTCTTTATACTCTGAGTACCACATGAAACAACGTTATAATTTTGCTTTCAGTGAAATATATAAATTCAACAGAAGGAAAGTCTATTGTGTTTATCTGTATTTGTAGTCTTTCCATTGTCCTCTCTCCTTCCATTGATGTTCCAAGATTCCTTTTAAAAAAAATCACTTCTTGTTTCAAAAACTGTCTTTAGCCATTATTTTAGGATATGTCTGTTTAAGACAAATTCTTAGTTTCCTTATCTAAGAATGTCTTGATTTATTTTTCATTCTTGAAGAATATTTTTGATGGATATAGATTTCTGAGTTTACAGGCTTTTTAGCAGTTCAAGAAAGGTGTTGTACCATTTCCTCTGGTCTCCATGGTTTCTGATGAGAAATCTGCCTTGTGAAGTGTTTTCCTCCTCTAGGTAAGGTAATGTTTTTCTCTGTCTGCTTTCAGGATATTTTCCTTTCTTTTTTACTTTTTAGAAGTTTGACTCTGACATGTCTTGGCTTGGATTTCTATGGATTTATCATATTTTCAAATATTCACTCAGCTTCTTGAATGTATAGGTTTGTGTCTTTTGCCAAGTTTAGGAAATTTTCAGCTATCATTCCTTCAAGTTTTTGATGTCAGTGACCCAAATGTTCAATCTTTTTATAGTCCTACCAAGTCCTGAAGCTCTGCTCATTATTGTTTTAGTCTCTTTTCTTTCTGATGTCCAGGGTAGGCAATTTCTGTTGTTCTATATTCTTGATTACTGATTATTTCCTCTGTTCTCTCTATTCTTTTGTTGAGCTTTTCCATTGAGCCTCTTAAATTTTGGTTGTTGTATTTCTTAGTTCTGAAATTTCATTTGGCTCTTTGTGTCTTCTGTTTCTTTGCTGAAATTTTCCATTTTTCCCTTTGTTTTAAGTGTTTATGTAAATGGTCACTGATGCATTTTTGTGATGGCTGCTTTAAAATCCTTTTTAGATAACTCCAACATCTGTGGCATCTCAGCATTGGCATCTGTTGATTGTCTTTTCTTGTTCAAGTTGGGTTCTTGGCATAATGAATGATTTTCAATTGTTCCTGGTCATTTGATTATTATGTTGTAAGACTAGATCTTACTTAAATTTTTTATTTTACCAGAACTCCTCTGACCCATATTGGTGGGGAAAAAAGAGGGTTGCTGCCTTGTTATTGCTAGGTGAAGGGTGGAAGTCCAGGTTCCTCAAATAGTATCCAGTGGTATCACCACAAGGAAGGGTTTGGGGCATCTCATTACAGCAGCCTGATAAGGGTGGAAGTCTAGATTTTCCACCCAACTTTTGCAGATAGAGTTGGGGCCGCACTTTTTTCACTGGAGTAGAGTGGTTATTGTATAAAAGTTTTCTTGCTAGGCTTTCCATCCCTTGGCCCTTTGGGGATTTTCTTTTTTTTAAGGTTTTATTTATTTATTCATGAGAGGCACAGATCGAGAGGCAGAGATATAGGCAGAGATATAGGCAGAGGGAGAAGCAGGCACCATACAGGTAGCCTGGGATCATGCCCCGAGCCAAAGGCAGATGCTCATCCTCTGAGCTACCCAGGCATCCCCCTTTGGGGCTTTTCTTTTGTCTTTTCCTATTAGTATTTTGGGATTGCTGGCTTTTCTGGTACCAATTCTGGGATATATGAAGCAAATAGCAAAACAAAGATCATAACTCACTGAACTTACCATATGTCTTTCCTTGGATCCCAAACTTCCTAGCTAGTCTGTCTTCTTCTACCTTTCAAAGTCTTCTAATATTTCTTTTACATATAAGTAAATAAAGTCATTAGCTGTATTTAGCAGAAGGAACCAAGAAAAGTGCATTTACCCCATCTCCTCTTGGACCAGAAATCTCCTTGCCATAATAGTATTCTGACTGACTCTAGAACATCACACATCTTTTCCTAGACCTCTGTGACCTATCATATTGGGAGACCTGACAGATAGCCAAACAGAACTCCACTTCAGATCTGAAGATATGGTGAAGCCTGTGGAGTCTGCTGTCCAGCAATAGCATTGCTGGTGGAATTTCAACAGCTGGGGAAGGCTACCGAATCTATCTGAAAGCCTCCTTGACTCCGGTGTACCTTCCTGTAACAGGTGAAATACACATGGGTGGTCAAGAACACTTTTATATGAAAACCCAAAGCATGCTTGTTCTTCCCAAAGGAGAGGACCAAGAAATCGACGTCTATGTTTCTACACAGTTTCCCAAATATATACAGGTAACATGGGGCCATTGCAGAGGGGAGGGGACTAAATGGGTTCTGCTGGCAAAACATACCAAGAGCAATTAGAGACAAAAATTGTCACTGCAGGAACTGAAGGAATTTGGAGCACTAACAGCCCTATCCATTTGGGTATTAACAGCTGTACAATTTCAAAGCTTTTAAGAGAGTTTTATGAAAGTAGGCACCTTTTGTTTGTGGATTTATAACCTCAGAACCAGTTTTGGAGTCAGCAGGTCTCTTGCCATACTCCTGGCATTGTTAAGAATACCAAAGAATAAAAGGAAAGCCTGCCCTCCAGAGTTTATAAGTACCTAATTCACATGAAGCAATTAGGAAGTGGTATTGGATGGAATGGAACTGAATACTTAATCAGCTAAGTCAGAATTTACACAGGTGGAAGAATTACGAGAAATGAGGGTCTGCTAAGGGCTAGAATCATCCAGAAAGTCCACAAAGATAAAGTCTTAAGTTTGGATTTGCAGTGAGAATGAGATTTGTCTAGATGGTGAGGAGAGGCCATTTCTAGGCAATGCCACACCAAGAACAAATGCCACTCATTCAGTCATTCATTCACTCATTCCTTCTGTAAACACATATTTCCTGTGACCTATATACCAGGCAGCATGCATTATAGGAAAGGAGGAAAGACAAAAAGACTACCCAAGCTGGAATAAGGGATACATTTAGGAGTGACTAGGTTAAGTGTCAGGGTGAAAGCAAGGGGAACAAAGCAAAGGTGTTGACTCAGCAGGTCATACAAGCCAGTGTTATTACCAGAGCAGGTAGGAATGTGGGAATGTGTGGACTGAGGCCTTTAGAAGCTGATACATTAAGAAGGGTCAGGTGAGTCCCATTCCAGTCCTGTCTGCTCCTCATTTCCAGTGTGATGTTGGGCCCATAACTTCATCCTTCTTGGGCTCCACATTTATAAACATGAGTTGTTAAGATTAAATGACCTCTAAACATTAGGATGGCATGGAAGAGCAAGACCTGCATCCAGGGAGGACGCACTGGCCAACTGAGCAATAATCCAGATGGGAGGCGAGAAATGTCTCCAGTGGAGACAGAATGTGGGGAAATATGGGGAATGTGGGGAAAAGATCCAGTCTGAAAGAGGTTTCAAGGCCTCAGAATCTCACTGCTTGAGGAAACATATCCCAAGGGATAGTATGTAAAGGCTACTTTGATTATGGTTTGTGGGGAGATTTTTCAAAAATTTATTAGCACAGGGGTGTCTAGGTGCTCAGTTGGCTAACTGTCCAACTCTTGATTTTGGGTCAGGTCATGATCTCAGGGTCATGAGATTGAGCTCCACATTGGGCTTTATGCTGGGCATGGAGCCTGCTTAAGATTCTCTTGCTTCCTCTGCCCCTGCCACCCCCACTCCCCTCATACTCTCTCTCTCAAAAAAAAAAATAATTATTACTAGCACAAAAATAGCATGTTGATACCAAAAGGACTACTTAATATTAATGATAGTTTTTGCAGTGTCATAGCTAAATGCTACTGAGATCAGTTGTAGATGTATGCTTAGGTCTTTGGAAATTGTTCTGCTATTTAATATAACTACACGGTTTCTGCATTGTGTGTAGTGTTTTGGAATCAAAATGTGTAAAGACTGCCCCACTCCCTTGCTGCAGATGGATCAGATTAATGCAATCTGTTGTCATTCACAGGATATAGTTGCCTCGACCTTGAAGCTCCCAGTTAACAAGGTCATGTGTCATGTAAAGCGTATTGGTGGGGCTTTTGGGGCGGAAGGCCATCAAAACCAGCATCATGGCAGCCATCACTGCATTTGCTGCCAACAAGTAAGTGGAGAAAATCTGCTAAATAGACTAAAAATAAAATGAAGTCATGCTGTACATACTCAATATTGGGGTTAAGAAGAAAGAATTTGGGTTAAGATTATTTAAAATCACATATGGTATACAAAACATAGGCTGCCAGCTTATTACAACTTTTTTTTTATATATAATATATTGTCATACCAGATACTAAGAACCAAAATGGGACTCAATCATTGAAGAAAAATGAAAGCCACAGTAAAAATACCTGCAGGCAGAAACAAGTCCTAAATGGATGGTGGTTATTAGCCACCACCCTTACTTGGAAAGCACAAAGTAAGTAGAAGAATGGGGATGGAAGGGATTTCTGTTATAAAGACAACACTGCATGGCTGCAGAGGGCAGCATTTGGCTGCCGTGAGCAAACCAACAAACCATGCTTCTGTTTAACTTTCTATGCCTTGTGCTGACTGATTGTGGCCGGCTCACATCTGCTTTACCCAAAGATGTCAATTGGTGCAAAGATACTAACTGGATCTGGCTGGTACAGAGTGAGTGACTGGAAAACATGTGAGCATATGTACATCTATGAAAGCAGATCTGATAACCATAGTGCTTCTACATTTTCTAAAAAATAGAATAATTTCCAATAGTGTTCTGTGAAATTACAATTATTTGCCAACAAGTTCCTTACTTTTCAGTATATCAAGGGTATCTTTGTGAAACTCTGTCCCAGAAGTTCCCAGAAAAATTTCCATAGCAGAAAATAATTATTCTTTTGCTTTGTAAGAAATAAATTAACTTGTCAGAATGGATTAATTGCCATAATAAACAACTAAAAACTCTCAGGGGCTTACACCTGGATTGTGTTATTTCTTGCTCAAGTAACAGCTCTGTATACTCAGCAGGGGTTGTAGGGAAAGGGAGAGGAGAGGACCCTGCTCTGAAAAATTATTCAGTGACTTAAACTTTTTCCATCCAGCAGTGCCACTGTCATTTCCTCATGCAGTGCCACTGCATAATCTAGTAAGGCAGTCATAAGGCTCATATGACTATTTAGGTGTAAATTTAAATTAAATAAAACAGAAAATTCAGTTCCACAGTTGCATTAGCTATAATTCAAGTGCTCAGGAACTACATGTGGCCAGTGGCTACCATATTGGACATGTAGATAAAGAACATTGCCATCGTCATGGAAAGTTTGATTGCATAGCACCATGTTAGGGAGTCTGAGACCTCTACGGGCTCTTCTGCAAGGGCAGAACATAAGGGAAGCAGGAGAACATGGAGTATTATGTGGGAGGTGTTTTAGGCACCAGGCGTGTTAACTGTAGACCTTGCTTCTGTTCACTTGTGATGAGCCAGGACTTTGCCATCTAACTGCAAGGGTGGCTGGGCAATGTAGTCTTCCATGTGCCCAGGATGAAAGACAACAGCATTTGTTGAACACGGCACCATCTCCACCACTACTGGTGTAGCCACGTACATATTTTTAGGAGATAATGGATGTATTCATTTCAACTCAGGTTCACTCTAAGCTCTATTTTGAATTTGGTTTAGTTTAACAAAGATTTATTAAACTTTTTTCTGACAGAGATTACACTTTGGGGGTGGAGGAGGAAATACAACTTACACATATGAAGTCATCATGAAAACATAATAATGTTGGGTTAAAAGTTGAGATGCACGTGGTAAAACTATGAGGAGAGAGGAATATGAGTTGCAGTATGTACATGAGACATCTTAGAGAAAGTGAAACGCAAATGGCCTTCAAGAACAGATGGGCAGAAAGAAGGCATATGGGTGGTGGGCATAGTAAGAGCAAAAATGCAGAGGAGGGATAAACATGGCATGTTTGATAGGGATGGCAGTAAGGAGAGAGGGAATCAGAATACACGGTGATTACTGAGAGGTGGTGGAAAATGAGATTGGTTAGGTTAAGTGATGCCAGATGGAGAGGAGCCTAGCGTTTAAGGATGGGGGTTGAAACTTGATCTTGTAAGAAAGTGTAGGACTGGGTAGATCCTTGATCAGCCAAGTGTCATAACATAGGTGCATTGGAGAAGATAATAGGATGGCACTGGGCAGGGTGGCCTGGGGAGGAGAGAGGATGGAGGCAGCCAGACCATCGTATTTGGGGTCTGAGGTGTGATAGTAAGATGTAGAAGAAATGAATCCAAGAGCCACTGTAGTATTAAATAAAATAGGAGTTGTGAAAACCTTGGCAAAATACAGGAGATAATAAAACCACAAACATGATGTGGAGGTTTCTAGTAGAGAGAACCAAGTTAGAAGGAGGAAAGAGGAAGGAGGAACCTGGAAGAACAATGATAAGCTTGTTCATGTAAATGTTGGGGGAGAAGTGACAACAGGATTTTTAAATGCAAATGTCTTTCACCAATATGGAACTTTATTAAAAGGACTAGTTAGCGTTACAGAAGCCATAAACATAGCAGTTATTATAATTATGAGAAAATAGTGTTTTCTGATGTAGAGTGAAGACAGGAGATGATATTAGTAACACTTATAATAGTAATATTAATAATTTATATTTAGAACACTTGCTGTGTTTTAGTCACTCATCTATAATTTTCTGTGCATTACCTTATTTATTGCCATTTCACAGATAGAGAGATCATAGAGCTTGCCTAAGATCACAGAACTAGTTTAGTGGCAGAGCCAGGACTCAAACTTAAACTTCAGGAGTTCATAGGTCATGCCCTTCACTATGACTTTGGTTTGAATTTGGTACCGTTCAACAAAAACCACAAAGTGAGGAAAATGTGCTAGTCCATTCTGAGCAGGCCACCAGATTTGGAGATTAAAAGATGAAATGGCTTCAGGGAGAAAGTTCAGGTAGAAATGTGGAGCCAGAATTTAAGGACTTGTGGCAAGAATGGGAGGTTAGGATGTATGCAGTGGATTGTTGAGAGGAGGGTTGATTGAACAGCAGCAATGAATTGGACAGGAGTGTTTTTGTTTGTTTTGCTTTTATATCTACCCTTCCTTTTTCCCCCTTTTTTATTATTTTTAGTTGTGGCAAAATACAACATAAGATGTTCTGTCTTAGCCGTGTTTAAGTTTGGTAACATTAAGTACATTCGCATTGCTGTGCAGCCATCACCACCATCCATCTCTGGAATTCTTTTCATCTTGTAAAACTGCAAATCTGCACCCACTAGGTAATATGTCTCCATTTCTTCCACCTCCAGCAACCCCCTAGAAACCACCATTCTACTTGCCATTCGTTCTAATTTGACTACACTAGGTACCTGATATAAATGGAAATAGTATTCATACTTTTGGCTTATTTCACTTAACATGATGTCTTCAAAGTTCATCCATGTTATAGCATGTGTCAGAATTTCCTTCCTTTTTAAGGCTGAATAATATTCTATTATATATGCACCACATTTCATCAATCCATTCATCCATTGATGGACACACTTGGGTTGCTTCTACCCCTTAGCTATCGTGAATAATGCTGCTATGAACATAGATATATAAATAGCTTCAGAACCCTGCTTTTAATGCTTTGTGGATAAATACCCAAAAATGGGATTGCTGGATCATATTGCTATTTTTAATTTTTTGAGGAACTGTCATACTGCTTTCCATAGCAGCTCCACCATTTCACATTTCTACCAGCAGTGTATATGGTTCCAATATCTTCACATGCTCACCTATACATATTACTTTCTGTAGCTGGTTGGTCAGTTGGTGGTTTTTTTTTATAGTAGCCATTGTAATGGATGTGAGGTTATTTGTAATTTTGATTTGCATTTCCCTAATAACTAGTGATGTTGAACAACTTTTCATGCACTGATTGGACATTTGTATATTGTCTTTGGAGAAATGTCTATTCAGATCCTTCATCCATGTTTTTAGTCAGATTGGGTTTTTTGTTGTTGTTGAATTGTAGGAATTCATACACATACTAGATATTAACCTTTTATTAGATATACAGTTTGAAAAATTTTCTCCCATTCTCTGGTGGCCTTTTCACTCTGTTGATTGTGTCCTTTGATATATGGAAGTTTTACATTTTGATGTAGTCCAGTTTACCTATTTTTTTTCTTTTGTTGCCTGTGCTTTTGGTGTCATATCTAAGAAATCATTGCCAAATTTAATGTCATGAAGCTTTTTATCTATGTGAGGAGGATTTACAAGTGACAAAGTGAAATGTAGAGAGACACATGGTCCCCAGCACCAGTATTAAAGGTCGGTTCTCTTTTCCTAAGCTGGGTTCATGAATGATGGCAGAAACTTGGCTCTGGATATGGAGCATTATAGCAATGGAGGCGCCTCCCTGGATGAATCATTATTTGTAAGTGCTTTAAGGAGCAAGTTCACATTCTGAAAAGCATGACATAAAATGATGTAATTCAGAAAATGTTCAATAGTTAAATAACATATTAATAAACAAAGACCCACATTGCAGGAATAGCCATGTGTTATTTACTGGCACCTCCAGGGTAAGTCCAGAGATACTGGCTAATTCTGTGTCTGCATATTATCTCCATGTTTCCCGTACTTAGAGTTCTTTTCTCAAATGCAAGCATTATACTAAACCACAGCTCTACTGATATTCTGGCCTGGATCATTCTTTGTTGTGGGCCTGTCCTGTGCATTGTAGGATGTTGAGCAGCATTCTTGGCCTCTACTGGCACAGCTACCCTCTGGTCTCAACAACCAAAAGTGTCTCCATATATTACCAGGGAAGACAGAGGACTAAATTGCCCCTGGTTTAGAACCAATGCATTAGACCAAACACGATAACATATTTTTTGTGTTTTGCAGATATTTTATTCATTACATTCTATAGACCCAGTTTACAGAGCCTATGAATGCTTCAAAGTCTTTGGCAGATGTCTGAAACCTGAGGATAGACATGTATTAGCCCTAAAATAGGAAAATTAAAAAATGCTGATTACAAAAGAAAAATTATTCAAATCCTTAAAAATCATTTTATAGCAAAAACTATTTTAACATAGGGCCTGGGTCTATTTTAGCATGTTTAATGTGATGTAGATACGGTTGGTATTTCTGGCCTGGTTTTGGTCTTAAGTCTCAGGAAGGCAAAATAGGTATGGAAGGATGTGAATCTTATCACACTAACTCTGGATTTCCCCAGGTGATAGAAATGGGACTCCTGAAAATGGAAAATGCTTACAAGTTCCCCAACCTGCGCTGCCGGGCATGGGCATGCAGAACCAACCTTCCATCCAACACAGCTCTGCGTGGCTCTGGCTTTCCTCAGGGCTGATCACTGGGTCCTGTATCACAGAAGTTGCAGCCAGGTGTGATTTTGCCCCCTCCCCCAAGGTAATGCTAATCTAGTCTCTCAGCGGGGAGAACCATTGACAGGTCTTTCAGGTTGAGGAATTTGGATCCAGAGAGGCTAAGTGATTTGCCTGAGGTAACCCAGCTAACTAGTTAAGACGGAGCCAGGGCACCAACTTCAGTGATCCTTGTCTTCCTCAGGCTCTTTTCCCCAAAATCCTTCAGACAGAGGATATTGAGGAGGGAGCTTTGGATTCCAACCCATGCAGAGATTAATACCAAGAAGTCTTCAGTGGTTGCAGATGCCCCTGCTGCCAACAAGGTCTGTCAAGCCTTTCTTTTCTCTGCTTCCTTCACGTCTCAGGCAGCTGTCATAGCGTTTTAGTCATTTCAGTTACTAAAATAGTTTCCTTTCTGTTCTTGAAGTCTCGGTCCCGACTTCATTCATTAACAAGCTCTGCTCCCCTCCCTCTGCCTCTTGCGCTCTGAATCCTGGAGCAGAGCGAGCGTGGGGAGACTCTGCTTTCTTTCACCCCTTCTTGGCTCTGTCCTTCTGCTGTGCTGCTGGAGCAGAGGGAAAGGAGGACCAGAGGAGGCAGCCTCTTCCCAGGGAGCTTTGTCGTCTGCTCGCTTACATGGAGCTGCTTTTCACCTGTCTCTGTGGGCTCTATTTCTGCTAACTCTCTCAAAAATGGACAGTCCCCTGTGAAAGTGGGTTAAATCTCCAGCCGCCCCCAGCTGGCACCTCAGGCAGTATTTCCTGATGCTTCTTTGCCCCATGCTGCAGCAAACCTTCATCCGCCTTCTCTCTATTCAGTATTAGGATCTGCGGCCCTACACAGGAGTCATTTTCTTTGTGTCTCTTGAACTTCTGGGGGTTCCTGCCTTTCCCTCCTGGCCATTTCATCACGCCTCCCTCCTAAATGATCTGTTGCATTTGGTGGCATAGGGAGAATTAAATAATGACCTCCATCCACCTCTGGGGAAGTCAGAGGAGAGGACAGCTACCCTTAAGAACACTGCCTTCTCCGAGGTGCCTGGGTGGTTCAGTTGGTTAAGCATCTGACTCTGTTTTGGCTCAGGTCATGATTCCAGGGTTGAGAGATCTTGCCCTGAGTCAGGCTCAGCATGGGTTCTGCTTGAGTTTCTCTCTCTCCCTCTGCTCCTCTCACTTATGCTTGCCTGCGCTCTGTCTCCCTAAAACAAACCAATCTTTTTTTTTTCAGACCAGTCTTTAAAGAAAAGAACTTTTATATTTGTTTAAATAAAATCAATAACTAGGATAAGTGGTCTTATCTTGCTACAGAATCTGAACAATCCAAATTTTGTAGATCACAGCCTGGAAGTTAAAGTCAGGATTATCTATCAACAGATATTCACAAATGCAACTAGAATTAGAGGAGTCTACAGTGTGCCTGGACTGCAGTGGGTTATAAAAGAAATATAAGGAAAGGCTGCCTCCCTTTGAACTTACACCAGAGCAGCATAGAAAGCACATAAATGCTAACATATTCGATAGAGGCTTCGCGTAAAGAAAGCTTCAGGAAAGGCTTCAACAAGAAACTCAGTTTGGGCCTAATGGGATGAGCAGAACTTGACTAGGAAGACAGTGGATAGAAGAGACTGTAGCTGTTACCTCTCCTCACATTTTGATCTCCTTTTCTTTTATAGGTTCGAATGATAAACATGTACAAGGAAATTGGTCAGACACCCTACAAACAAGAGATTAATACCAAGAACCTGACTCAGTGTTGGAAAGAACGTATGGCCATGTCTTCCTACTCCCTGAGGAAAGTGGCTGTGGAGAAATTCAATTCAGAGAATTACTGGAAGAAGAAAGGGCTGGCTGTGGTCCCCTTGAAGTTTCCTATTGTCCTTGGCTCAGTCGCTGCTGGTCAGGTCAGTTCTCTAAACGGACAAATCAGAAGGTGCTGGGGAAACTTTCTGCGAAGGCGGGGTAGCTATAGGGTTGCAATGCCTGTTTGTAAATCATCTTCAGGGCTGTCCTCAATCAAGCTATTTTTTCTCCAGAGGAGATAAGAGCTCCTTTGCGGGAATCCCGAGGGTTAGTGACAAACATTCTTGTTGAGAAATTGGGGGACCTGGTATCTGCTTTTGGCCCTGGCACAAAGCAACTGAGTCAACTTGCTCTGGGCCCAGATCACTCAAGTATAAAGTAAGACAGTGGGATGGATGACTGCCAACACTCCTCTTTAGCTCCTCTTCCAGCTCCTCTGTGTTTCTGTGTCGCTGGACCATGAAATAGAAATGGGAAGTTGCATGGCATTTGGGTTCACCGCCTCTTTTGGTGGGTGGGATAAAGTAAACCCAGAAAAGTAAGTTATTTAAATAATTTTTAAACACAATTTTAGAAGTTTGCTCGCTTCTTAGCTGTTAAAAATGTGAAGCGGAGGACTGGAAATCTGCTCCTGTAGTTTCTTCAATTGATTAAATAAATTCTCTGCTAGTTTTTGTTTGCTAAATCCCACTTGCTGCTTCTGCCTTTTTTTTTTTAAGATTTTTAATTTATTTATTCATGAGAGACACACACAGGGAGAGGCAGAGACATAGGCAGAGGGAGAAGCAGACTCCATGCAGGGAGCCCGATGGGGAACTCGATCCCAGGGCCCTGGGATCACGACCTGAGCCAAAGGCAGACACTCAGCCACTCAGCCACCCAGGTGCCCCTGCCTCCCTATTCTTGAATGAAACTTACCTGAACAGGTAGGCATCCGCTCTACTCTAGCTCACTACAGAGCCGTGGTGTGGGTCCCCTGTCATCTACATTCTTACAAACACATTTGTATACATACATCTACTGGAGAAGACAGCAGAGCCCTCAAACCCGTTGTCACTCCCCTTTGCAGAATTCACACCTTTGGTGAGCCATGAAGAAGGAATGGCCGGTGCCTTGAGTGATGACAGATTAAGGACAAATGGGGTGGAACTGTGAGGAGCACTAATAAGTATGCTGTGTATTGAGGGAGCAGAGGAGGCCAAAAACAAAAACAAAAACAAAAAACAGGCAGGAAGGTCCTTCCTTCATGCCCATACTGATCCATTCACCTAACCATCGTGGCTCAGCTTTGGTATGATCATTAGAATGTTTCATGCTTGGTCACAGACATTTGGTGGCTCAAAGGAGCACAAAGGAACATGGTAACAATACAAGTGGTAATCTTTTTGCAGCTTTCCCATTCCTCGCCTGTTTGTGATGGCAGAAACAACACAGAGACATTTAGTCATCTTCACGCACTTTACTTAGATGAGGGAGACAGTTCAGAGGCTGTGGATGAGTAATAAAGGCAAAACCAAGATTATTCAGAAGGAGAATAGCCCGTCCCTGAGCAGACCAGCCAGGATCACAACCTAGAAGATCTGTAGCCTTATTTAGTCGTGAGAAAACTGAGGCTTCGAGAACTAAAATAACTTGCCTGAAGCCCCACATCTGGAGAGAGGTAGGGCCAGGCCTGTAGGCTCCAGCCTGAGAGGCTCTAGAAACAGTGTTTTCTCAGCTACACCAAGCTGCCTCCTACCTTTTGGTAGGAACTGAGATGGGATTCAGCTCACCTGGGAAGAAGCCAGATAACAGCCAGCAGTATGACTTCATCCTCAAACCACCGGTCCTACCCATCTTTCCCTGGAAACCAGCTTCCATGCTGAAAACATCGGCATAGGGCCGAACCCAGGAGTCCGAGATGGGGCAAGCTGCTTCCTGGAAGCCATACTTGGAAAGAGGAGGGAACTAGGAAGGATATTAAAAGGCCGAAGGCTGGATGATTCATAATGCCCACATCATTTAACCCCTATCTCACCTTTGTTGGGTAGGTGTGATTCTGTATTATAGGAGAAATTGAAGGGCATAGGTGTTCACTCTCTTGCCCAAGGACATCCAGCTATTGAGCGACAGAATGAGGATTAGACTTCAAGGCCTTCTAGTCACATGTCTTTATCATTCCATGTGTCTCCCTGAGCAGAGGAGCCCCATGCCCATGACAGCTGAAGGGCTCACATGTTCCTTCCCTCTGATGTATTTAATTACCAGCCTGTGGACACCGATGAGCAGACAAGATTTAATTTACCTCTGCATCGGTACCACCTTAGTGTGGCATCTGACACAGGGTATCAACTCAGATACCGGAGTGGCTGAGACATTTGGGGAATCTGGAACCAAAGCAAACTGCTCACCGACCCCGGCAGTCCTGCTTGATGATTGAGATTTCACAGACTAAGTCCCCGATTTGTGTTGAGAACCATCTGTTCTAATGCTCCAGTTGTGCCTATTTCATAGATGAAGCTTTGCAGAATTTTCCTTTGTGGCGATAACAATGAACCATCCGGTGGTGCCACTTAACTGAACCAAATTTGACATTTTAAATGACGCAAGGGGATTGCAGCAGCACATGGGACAAATTACTCAGCAGTCTCCAATAGAAATGCTGCCCTGGACACGCAGGCGGAGGACTGTTGCCAGCAGGGCCACACAATGGAGAAAATGCACAATCCGCTCTAATTGTAACTCTAGCACGTGTGCCAGCTACAAATTGCCACGAGCAACTTCTGAATTGCTTGCAGAGCCAAGGAGGCCAAATACAGACTTTAAAAGCTTCACGCTATTGTAAATTCATTTGTCAAACTTTTATTGGGCACTTACTATGTGTGAGATACTATGCTGCATTCCGAGGATGCCCTAGGACCCGGCCCTTCCTTTCAGGGGGCTTCTGTTCTAGCAGAGAACAATGAAGTGGCATAGAAAGGAGCCCAGGAGCAGCCCTTGCAGCTGCCACTACCTGGCATCTGATGAGCAACCAGGGCAGCCAGCTCTAGGCTCTCTGGAGGGGATGCCACCGCCTAGCTTTATTATTTGGGGAACAAATGGTCAGGATCACAAGAGATGGTATTTCCAGGAGTGCTGTGTGAACAAACAGTAAAACAATTCTGCTGCATCTTCTCAAGATTGGGTATGATTATCATGGCAATGATGCCCTCCTCAAGGTTCTGAGATTCTCCCTTGGGCTGAGAAAGTGTATCCCTATGTCTCTATGCGACCAATACATCCCTAGTGTACACCTGCTGAGCCAGGTAAATAGAGCCCATTTTCACTGCCAGTGTCTTAAAAGCTTTTATTTCACTGAATAATGTAAATCTTTGGATACTACTATAGAGGCAGTCCTCCAAGTGTGGCCCATGGCCCACAAGTGGCAATGAAGACCCTTCTGGTGGTCAGAGAATCAATCTAGGAATGTAGTTCATTTCTTGGGTATATCTGGTAATTGTCATGTGATTCCATTAACTTTCTTTTTTAAAATAGATTTTATTTGTTTATTCATGACAGGAGAAAGAAAGAGAGAGAGACAGAGAGAGGCAGAGGGAGAAGCAGGCTCCACGCAGGAAGCCCGACATGGGACTTGATCCTGGGTCTCACCCCGGGCTGAAGGCGGCACTAAACCGCTGGGCCACTGGAGCTGCCCTCCATTAACTTTCACTTATGACCAGGGTTGTTTATAACTTATCTGAGCAATGAAGGCTTACCAAAATTTTAGCTTCATTATATACATAATAGCTAGTTACTAGAATTTTCTAAAAACTCTGCCTTTACAGATCCTAGATTTCTATGCCATGCATAAGTATTAAGAAGCCTAATATCTGACAGATATTAAAAGCTGACAGAGCTTTAAGTCATCCCTTGCTGGTCCAAACCACACCTATGAGGTTGGCCTCTCCCAATTGAACTTGCAGGGCTTCCTAAACCACAGGGAACCACTGGAAGCATTTTCTCTAGGACCACATGCTACTAATATTGCTCTTATACTAGAGACTTAAAGTGAAAACGCCATCCTTGTTTTCTGTAGCCCTCCTGGGATAACTTCATACCCCTTAGTCTAGCATGGACAAAATTGCAAGAAGGCACATTCTTGTTGATTATAAAACATGTTTAGCTAGAGTCTGGATGTTTCTGATTACAGAAGCCTTTAATTCTGTGTTAGCAGTTTGGTTCTTTCCAGATCCCCACGGGGAGCTGTACAGTTAGATAAGATTACTTCCAAGTTCTCTTCCAACTAAAGCTCTGAAATTCTGTGCCAGGATAATTTGGAGTGGGCTTAGCTCATTTTGTAGCAAATAATGTCTGTCTGTCCCATCTTATTTGGATTTGTGTTTTTTTGCTTCTCTACAACAGACCTACAACTATGGGAATATGCGTTCATGTAAACAATTCTCTCCTGCCGTGACCTATCTATGCTTAACTTGGCATTTTACAATGCAAAGTTGCACAACTTTTACAGTCACAAAAAAACAAATCCCAAACCTAGATTGTTGTTCCACTCTGGGTTAGGGAGATCCTCAAATGTCTTAATGAGGAAATAGTAGCTTAAGGAACGTAGTCCTGCCGCAGCCTCAAAGCCATCCCATGACAGCCTGGTGTCTTGTGGAGTCATCATGAGGCAGCACTTGCCCCGCACTGCCCTGGCTCTGCTCAGTGTTCTCAGGGCAGTGGGAGAAGTGTCTGTGTATATTTTGGCAAGAGATGGAAAGGAGGGAATCATTCCCAGGGAATATTTTTTTTTATTAATGAATTTATTTATTTTCATCTGGTACTTTTTAATACCTTCTAGAATAGACTGGCAGTGAAGTGCATATTTGGTTGCTGAGGACAATTTTTATGCTGACATCTTGTTATCATTTAACATTAAACTAGTAAAGTAAGGGTTGGCAAACTATAGAGGGAGTCAAATTCTGCCCATGGCCTGTTCTGTATGTCTGTGAGCTTAGAACAGTTTGTTACATGTTTTTAACTTTTTTTTTTTAAGATTTTCTATTTATTTATTAGAGACACACAGAGAGAGAGAGAGAGAGAGAGAGAGAGAGAGAGAGGGAGAGACAGAGGGAGAAGCAGTCTCCATGCTGGGAGCCTGATGTGGGACTCGATCCCGGGTCCAGGATCACACCCTGGGCCGAAGGCGGCACCAAACTGTTAAGCCACCAGGGCTGCCCTGTTTTTAACTTTAATTCCAATATAATCAGCATACAGTGTTATATTAGTTTCGGGTGTACAATATGTAATTCAATAATTCAATACATTACTCCCCAGGGAAAATGTTTTAATTGAGAAGACATGATAACATCCACCAAAAAGATCATGGAGGGGCACCTGGGTGGCTCAGTGGTTGAGTGTCTGCCTTTGGCTCAGGTTGTGATCCCGGAGTCCTGGGATCAAGTCCCGCATTGGGCTCCTTGCATGGAGCCTGCTTCCCCTTCTGCCTATGTCTCTGCCTCTCTCTCTCTGTGTCTCTCATGAATAAATACATAAATTTTTTTTAAAAAATATCATGGAAACTGTTGTCCTCTTTTCTGGTTAGGCTGCTGCCTTGGTTCACATTTACTTGGTGGGTCTGTGCTGGTGACTCATGGTGGAATCGAAATGGGTCAGGGGGTCCATACTAAAATGATTCAGGTAAGTAGTATAGTTGGATTAAGTTGGGTGTGTGCTTGTAGCTATATGTATGAGAGAAAAGCCATGGATGAATATTTTCTGTTCCAAAATAAAAAGGACACGAGATTTTAGCTTTGACGTCTTAAACTATTAAGCTGTTAACAGAAACTGGATAAACCAGCCAGTTTTGTAACTGAACACCCTACAAGAACGTGGCAGAGGAGCCTCAGGTTTTCTTATTGCTACAGAAGACTGTGTCTTAATTTGTTGCTTTCCTTTGGGTATACAGGTCTCTCCCGCCATCCAAAAATAGAGCATTCCTTTGAAACCTTTTCCAAGCCAAAATGACATAAAGCAAAGGTGTAATTGCCATTAATTTACGTGAAAATATTTTTGAGCCTTTCCACATCCCCCCGAAATAACCTCTCCTAGTATTTCTGATTTGCTAATGGATGTACAAAATAAATCGGGATAAAGTACAGATGATGACAGATGCAGTTCAAAGCTCTGGCCGTCCCCAGGAAGGAGCTTCGGATGCCACTTTCGCTGCTTGGGGTGAGCACTGCTTCCAAACCCATGCTGCAGAACAAGCACTCTCAGAATTTTTGCTCTTCACTTTTTTTCCTAAAAGGGAAAAATCCTCTCCAGATTTATTTCATTTAGCAAAAACAGGTACTAATGTCCGCGTTTTATAAAAGCCAAGTGGCATTATGCAAACTTCCACAGAGAGGGGAACACTACTAAGTGAGTTGTCTTTTTGAACCTTTGCTGGGTAATGAAAAGATGTGTAAATTCTGATACATTGTGTTGTTTTTTCGCCCTTTTTATAGTAAGGAGTTTGAACAATTGAAAATATAAAGCACATTTGGTATTTCTAATCAAAGTCTACCCATTTTTTGGTTCATTTACTCTAATTTTTAGGTAGTTTCTATTTTGCAAATAATAGTAATATTAAAGATCATAAAACATTTGGAAGAGGCAAAAAACTTTTTTAAAAGACTGAACAATTTCACTACTTAGCAATATCAGTGTTTTGAGGTCTTTCCATCTTTTTTATCTTTTGAAAATTGCTAACATGTTGTTTATGTAGTTTTTGTATCCTGATTTTTATGTGTGTTTTTAAGTTTTTATTCAAATTCCAGTTAGTTAACATACAGTCATATTAGTTTAGCATACAATGTTATATTAGTTTCAGCTGTACAATATAGTAATTCAACAATTCCATACATCACCCAGTGTTCATCAGGACAAGTGTACTCCTTAATGCCCATCACCCATTTAACCCACCCACCACTGATAACCATCAATTCTCTATAGTTAAAAGTCTGTTTCTTGGTTTGTCTCTCTCTCTTCCTGCCACTCCCCATCCATGCTTATTTCTATTCTTTTTTCATCTGTTCTAATATAGAGTGAGCACTTCCTCCTGTGGTTCAGGATTCTTTGTAATTATGATTTTTAATGGCTGCTTGTGGATATATGTATAATTTATTTAACCACCTCCAATTGTTGAATACTTCAATTAATATTTTTGTATGTAAGCCTGTGGTCAAATCAATGACTATTTTCTTAAAATAAATTTCCATAAATGGAATTACTGGGTCACAGAATGTATCTTAAATCACTGACACGTGTTACCAAATTGTTTTTCCGAAAGTATCCATTTCATTACACCACTAACCAACTTTATACATTATGAATTTTTTAAAAACCTTAGATAATTTAATAGTTGTGAATGATAGTACCTCATTATTGCTTTGATTTGCATTTTTCCGATTATAGAGCTTTTGCTAGAATTTAGAAGAGCGAGGTAGTAGGAGAGGCCTCAAAGGTGTTGATTTCATGATTATGAAGACATGCAGCATTTCCTCCTGTGTTGGCTTTTCCTCCTCTTCCTGATGCTGTTGCATATAAGAAAGTCAGAAAAGCAAGAATATGTACTCAGGGTTTAGGGTTCAGACTAGCTACTAGTTTTTTAGAAAAGAACCTTTAGTAAAGGCTGGAGAATTCACGTCCCTGTTGCACGTATGGGGGCTTCACATATGGGCTTCCATGTAGGTGTGTGCACAGGTCTGTGACTAACCAGAGTATTTAAAAAAGAATCTCTCTTCTAAAATTCAGGTGGTTAGTCGTGAATTAAGGATGCCCATGTCTAATATCCACCTGCGTGGAACAAGCACAGAAACTGTCCCTAATACAAATATTTCTGGAGGTTCCGTGGTGGTGGATCTCAACGGGTTGGCAGTAAAAGTAAAAATCATTGCAATGGCGTCCAAATCATTAGCCTCACTAGGTACATGGGTGGAGCTCAGAAGATGTTGAGAATTAATCCAGTTCTTATCTCTTTCTCACACTGTGAGAAAAATGTGCTTTCCCTCAGTGTCATACCCTCAGTATGTGGTACAATCCAGCTGCCCTCCTGGGCTGGAAACCCATCTCCTTTTCTCCCCACTCCTGACATCTCACTGATCATTCCATTCTACTCAAAAATATCTCTGTGTCTTTCAACTTCCATGTTCCAGGAATATCACTGTTTTGATTCAGACTTGCACTTCTTGCCAGGGCCATTAAAAGGCTCTGTCCCTCCATGTGAATTTTATTTCCTTTTACTCTGGCTTCATGTAGACAGAGTGAGCTTTCCCATAAAATAAATCTGACCATGCCGTGTTTAAAAACAGTGGTCAGGGGGTTGCCAACAATTTTTCGGTTAAGTCCTGACCTCTTAGCATGGATTATAGGACCCCCATCCTAGATGGTCTGTCTTTAAGACCAGCTAATACTTCAACCCCACCCCTGGGAAACCTTTTATTTATTTTTTTAAAGATTTATTTATTTATGATAGACAGAGAGAGAGAGAGAGAGAGAGAGGCAGAGACACAGGAGGAGGGAGAAGCAGGCTTCATGCCGGGAGCCTGACGTGGGACTCAATCCCGGGACTCCAGGATCGCGCCCTGGGCCAAAGGCAGGCACTAAACCGCTGAGCCACCCAGGGATCCCCCTGGGAAACCTTTTATAACACCTGCTAAAGGGTTGGTCTCTACCTTCTCTGTGTCCCATGGGCTCTTAAATAAGCCTCTATAATGGCACATATCTTGTGGTTTTGAAATTAGTGTTTGCCTAAAATTATGATAATAATTTTAATTAAAAAATAATCCCTAGGATGTTTGTCAGACTCTTCTAAAATGCCTTGAACCCATCATCAGCAAGAATCCTCAAGGTACTTGGAAGGATTGGGTGAGAATCACTATTACTTTTCTGTTTTCTGTTGGAAAAAAAAGGAGGGAGGAGAAATGTGTGAATTAAATATCAGTAGAAATGGCATTTTAAAAAGTACTACAGTTACATAACGATAAATAGAGGTCTTTGGCTGTCTGCGTGTAAAAATGTTATCATAATATGGTAGAGAAACTCTTGCATCTGGAAAAATTCTCCATTAGAAAAAAGATGGGTTTTCTACCTAAAACTCTTGTTTTTATCTTTTTAAGATTATTTATTTATTTATTCATGAGACACACACACACACACAGAGGCAGAGACATAGGCAGAGAGAGAAGCAGGCTCCACACAAGGAGCCCGATGTGGGACTCGATCCCGGGAACCTAGGATCATGGCCTGGGCTGAAGGCAGACTCTAAACTGCTGAGCCACCCAGGTGTCCCAAAACTCTTGCTTTTAAGCCAGAACTAATTAATGTTTCCTCCTCTGGATCCTGAGTATTTTCTAGATAATAGCTATAAATCTGTTTGTTCTCCTTCTTTGGGTTTCACTGTTCTTAAATGGAAAGACAACACTACGGTCCTTCCATAAAAGTAAAAATCATATAAGCACTCGTTTAGAAATAGGAGACCAAGCCACTGGATATGCATCCAACCAACAGTAGGCACTAAATTCAGCAGAAATTTCAACTGCTTCCTTCGATATACTTACAACCTAATTGGAAGAGAAAACACACATTCAAAAGTTAGCTAGCACACTTTTAAAGTAATAGGTTATAAAGTACCAGATGGTGTAGAATGGATGTCAGTAAAAGCTGAGAGTATGTGTCATGCCGTTTTAGGAGTCACATTAAAAGCATTGGTTGGGGGGAAATAGCATTTGGGGAGTCCTCCTTAGAAATGGTTCCTGCTACTCCACTGAGCTAGGACTCATTCTATAACTCATACATATGGGAACTCTTAGTCCTTTGGGGGTATATTTATGTCTGCCCTCTGCTCTGTGTTTCCTGAGCTAAACAAAGGCTAAGAGAGGCTAGCTGAAGAGACAATGCAAGACAGCCCTCCACCATCATGACATGCTGCCATTGGGCACACTTTCCCCTGTAATGGTTGCACTTCTCACCTTTTCTTTCTCAGACCTGGGTACTTGGACCAGAATTATGCCACTTTCCTAAGGCTAGTGAATACCTGGTATTTAAACACTCAACCACCCATTGTTTCCTGGAACATTCCCTGTGGATAGGCTGTCTTTCCAGAAGACCGAGTGAAGTTCTTCATCCACAGAACACCCCTTGCCCACTCTAGTCCAGTCTATGGGTATCACATACCTTGGCAGTCGTGGAAGGATGTCACAGTCCCTGAATACATGCTGTTACTATAGCAGTGACTGCGAGTGCTTGTGAAGTGGAGAGTAAGGAAAGGAATACATTAGGCTTGGTTCTTGCTGTATTTCACATATAGTAAAACTAAGGTTGAAGCCATAGGTGATCCTTTTAAATACCGTCACTGCATCATCTTTCCTCTTGTTTCCCAGGCACAAGCTGCTTTTGATGAAAACATTAGCCTTTCAGCTACTGGATACTTCAGGTAAAGAGTCCTTTTAATCACACACTATGAGAAATAGCAAGAGCTTGAGGAAGAGTTTCACTCCTGTTTGCAATTTTGGAAAAAAAAAAATTGATTTGAATGACCTTCCGTTAATCCACTGTTATAAGCAACATTTAGCTTTTAGTTAATCCAAATGCCCAGAAAGGTTTCTGTTGGGAAAAATTGGCACAAAAATAAAATATGGCTGAACTGATGATTTGAATCATATGGAGTGGTGCTGGAGGGTTCTCTGAGGTTAGTGCTTGGAACCCACAGCAGTGGGTGATTTTCTTGTTGAAAACTTAGTGTATCCTTAAATTAAGAAACAAAGGTAAGGGGATGCATATTAAACCCATAATAAGATAAGCAGCATTTCACACCTTCTAGATTGGCAAAAAAGAAGAAATGTGACAATAACCACATGTTGTCAAGATGCAGAACAATTGTCACTGACCTACTTTGGAAAATAATTACCAAATTATTTTAATGGAAAGTGAAAGCCATCAGCGAGCGGGGTGATGCAGAAAGTCTTACCTGATTTTGTCATTTTGCTAGTTCTCATGGGCATTCCAGGGCACTGGCTGGCCAGCAGGAAAAGTGTCAGAAGCATTTTTCATGGCCACCTCCAGGCTGGCAGAAACAAAGGAGAGAAGGGTAGAAAGTGCTGGCAAGCTGCTGGCCTATGCTCCTCTTATACCATGACATTCTTCTGGTGTCCTTGAGAAGAGTCAGGAACAGAGCATGTTGTGTAGATCAGAGAAGTAGCAAAGAATGAGAGCCAAGGGCCTGGTCCTACAAGCAGAAGGCTGAATCCTGGAGCCAGAATGACAGGCTAACAGGCACATGTACACCTTTGAAATAGCATCTGGTCTAAAAAGCAAGTGAAATTCCCCAAATCTGACAACAGTAGGTGACAGGACTTAATATCTACTAAAAGCAGAAGGGTGGATAGTCATATGATGAGCATCTAACTTCCAGGCATAAGGAGTCATTGATTGGTTGGGAGCAATTGAATGTTTTTATCAGACAAAGCAAGTTTAATAAGAAGTAGATGTTTATTCGACAGATTTGTTGCATGCATTACGCGCAGGCACATCATGGTGCAAGCGTATTCCTCTGGTTTGCTGTACCTGCAAATCGAACACAGCCTCTGACTGGTCTGTTTAATCATTGGGGTCTGCAATTAGGGGACTTAATCATTTAACAGCGCTCCTCAAAAATTCTGTTTCCTCCAGAGGTTATGAGTCAAACATGAACGGGATGACAGGCGAGGGCCATCCTTTCAAGTATTTTGTTTTTGGAGCTGCCTGTTCCGAGGTTGAAACAGACTACCTGACAGGCGCTCCTAAGGTCAGTACCAATTGGAGAGGTCTTCAAGTCGTACCTTAGATACACCTAAATTCCATACATGCCGTCTATCTGAGCATCATAGAAGCACCATGTATTTGGCTAAGGACAATTTCTCTGTGTTACCACAAAAAAAAAAAAAAAAAGTTCAGCAGTTGCCTTGGTATTGTGGTTACTTCCGTGGAAAACAACTGGCGGCCTCTCTTCTTTATTTTTCTGGCCCTTTTAAATGGAATCAGGAAAGAAACCACTTCAAGGAAGAAACACAGCTTAAAGAGAGCTTTCATGTAGACTGTCCTGACCTCTTATTTGAAATGCCATCCTATGACATTTTTGAAGGATTTCATAAGCATCCATAACCTGCTAACGAGCATGAAGGGCCAGCCCAGGGAAGGTAGTAGCCAACTTTTGATATCTTTTATCAAGCTAGGTCCTGCTTTTTAGATAGTTTAAGGGCATCCTTATGCTTTTAAGGGATCCAGTGAGGACAAACACACACACACGTTCTACACACAGGTTCTCCTTCTCTCTCTTTCTCTCTCTCTCTTACACACACACACACACACACACACACTTACATTTCAAGGAGAGGTGCTCCTCTTATAGGTGGATCTTTGTGGGCAAATGAAGCTACTGACTGGCCACAGTCAATAGTAACAAATGACCATTAATACATTAAATGAGATGAGACTGTGATACCCTCACAACTGTCATGTGATAATCTTACCCAAACTTACCCAGAAGCAAGCTCTAGGTCTTGATATTTCCAAACGTACTTTGTAGTTGTATCTTGAATTATGATCAGATATAAGTTGTCGTGTAACAGGTCTCCAGCATGTATGTTTTTAAAACTATAGTCAGCCTATTCTTTGAAATTATATATACCTTTATTGAGTCTGCCCGGTAAAGTATCTGATTTGTCTGGATTCTAACTCAGACCAGATCACTTTGGGGGAAACTCGGACTGGGAAAAAACAATGATCATTCTAAACATGGCTTTCTTTGTAGGATGGCTGTCCTGTTTTAGTTCAGTAGAAAGCTTTCTCATGCTAACTGATTTCTGCATTCTTTCTCCCTCAAAGAAAAATTTGGTGAAAACTTAATCACTTGGGTTTTCTTTATATGTCTTGGCCTTGTTAAGATCTAAGAACAAGGGCAATAATTAGCCTTGGTATAAAATTCTAAGGTGTGTTCTTATAACTTATTTGAACAATCTTAAGAGATGTGCTAAATAGTCATTTTATCAGATGCATTCAAAAAAGCTAGATCTGTAGCTCAGGTTAGGTATAGACCTAGGTAAAATGCTGTAACATAACATGGCACCAGGGACCTCCCTGGAGGCCTCTTTCCCAGTCATTTTGCTTATGTTGTTAGAATTGTTCTTATTTCTACAAAATTTCCCTCACTTTGAACCTACACCTATATATTACTTATCTATCTCTGTGTAACAAATTACTCTCAAATTTGGCAGCTGAAAATAACAAATATTTATTAAACCTGACAGCATTCTGAGGGCCAGAAATCTGGGAACAACTTATCTAAGTGATTCAGGCTCAGGATTTTTCACAAGATTGCTATCAAGCTGTAAAGTAGGGCTACAGTCACCCCAAAGCTCAATGGTGGCTGGAAAATCTGATTCCGAGCTCCTTCACATGCTTGTTGGTAGGAGGCCTCAGTTTCTCACTGGCTGTTGGCCTGAAGTTTCCATTCCATACCACAAGGACATCTCTGTGGGATGTCTCCATGTCTTCAGGACATACAAGCTGCCTTCCAAACCCAGAGGGACTGATGCAAAGGAAAAAGAGAGTATGAGCAAGCAAGAGAGCACCCACGACAGAAGCCAGTCCTTTATGACCTAACACCGGACTGATGTCCTAGCACTTCTGCATATGCTGTCAATCTCACAAACTAACCCTGGTAGAGTATGGGAGGGGAATAATACATAAGGATGTGAACACAGCACGTGGGGATCATTGCAGGCTGCCCTGGAGGCCAGCTACCACAACCTAGAACCAACCACTCTCTTCAGCCCTAACCAAAAAAAAAAAAAAAAAAAAAATGACAGTCAGTCAGTCCATGGCTTTGAAAACAAAACCTTCACTAACACGGCCGGCATGAACGCATCTCCCCTCACCAATAACTGAGGCCACTGGTCTGCTGGAGGGCCAGGCTTGCTAAGTGGTGTCATGGAGAACTTTACATTTCATCATGTCCTTAAGTAAGAAAGTGTTTTATTATGATAAGACGTTCTGGTTCACTCTCTCATTTTCCTGAGATAAATGTTAGATGGAAGTCCCAAATCAAATAAGAAAACTTGAGTTTCCTTTGTCCCCTTAATAATTATAGGTAGAATCTGTTTGTCATGGCAGATGGCAGAAGGCATTATGTCACATAAAAGAAGGTACAGACTTGCTAGAGAGCAAGGTGTTACCAGTAACCTGGCCGGGCCTGCTGCATTCCTCATTTGTAGTGTATCAGGAATTTTTGGTCACCACATTGTCATTTAGATTTATCTTTCCTCTGTTCTAAAAATGAAAAATATATAATAGCAGATAACATTTGGGGACTTTCCGGCTGATGCACCCTCTGAGCTTCAGTAAATATCACCCAGCCAGCTGAACTCTGGATATTGGGTTGTATGGTAGCCACAGTTTTTCAACAAGGATCATGAAGGCCATAAACATTTTCTGTGTCATAGATTATGTCTGTTGCACTGAGTGGAACTCAATAAGTTACCTCACTCAGTCAGAACAGAGTCAAATATTTTTCTCTCCTATTGTTTCTGAAGAAAAAAAAATCAGTGCATAAGCTGGTTGAGTATGTGTATAGCTTTGAAAGTTACACGTGATAGACTTTGTGACACAATAAAATCTTTGTTGATTCTTTCTCCTGAAATATATTGTAGCCCAAAGAAGCATTCTAACCCAAGGGCATCCTGGCAGGAACTGTTTCTGAGTCTTCTCTCCTAAGTCGTATTCATTAAAATAAACATTTTTGCTCTTTTTCATTACTAGAACACCAGAACAGACATTGTCATGGATGATGACTGCAGTATAAACCCAGCCCTTGACATAGGCCAGGTATGTGTACCTGCTTTGTCTCAGCCCCATTTGTAAAAGCCAAAACTGCTGTGGGGGTCTGTAGGGAAAACATTCCATCCGGCTTATTCTTCATCTTTTTTTTCTACTCCTGAAGTCAGAATCTGTCTATTCAGGCCAGCCACAGAACTCAACTCTCTTACTGTCTAAAAAAGGGAAGAAAACAAAGATGTTTGAAGTAGTTTTTGAAGAGACATGCGGTGTGTGATTGAGGAGCTTGCATGAGTCAGAGGAAGCAAGCCTAGAGGTAACAAAATGAGCCCCATACCTCTGGGATTAGAAGTAGACTATCAGCTATGTGTGAAGTCTTGGGCCTACAATGGGGTCTAACTTGGAGGAGTTTAAGGTTGGGTTGGGATAACATCAAATAACTATGGCAGTAGCCATTAATAGGTAGCCTGTTATGCCCACAGACATTTTTTTAAATTTTATTATTTATTCATGAGAGACATAGCGAGAGAGAGAGGCAGAGACACAGGCAGAGGGAGAAGCAGGCTCCATGCAGGGAGCCCAACCTGGGACTCGATCCCGGGACTCCAGGATCACACCCTGGGCCAAAGGCAGGCGCCAAACCGCTGAGCCACTGGGGATCCCCTCCGCCCCCCCAGACATCTTATTTATTTATTTATTTATTTATTTATTTATTTATTTATTTATTATTTTTTTATGATGAGAGAGAGAGAGAGAGAGAGAGAGGCAGAGACATAGGCAAAGGGAGAAGCAGGCTCCATGCACCTGGGAGCCCGACGTGGGATTCGATCTCTGGTCTCCAGGATCGCGCCCTGGGCCAAAGGCAGGCGCCAAACTGCTGCACCACCCAGGGATCCCTTTTAATTTAAATTTGAAATAATTGACAAGATTTAAATAATCACCAGCTCTCTTACATAATTGTTCAAGTGGCTGGCGTTTCTTGAAAACACAGGAAATTTGCCAACACTGGAGCTGCATTTCCACAAGGAAGTCTGTTGGCTACCCTTTTAAAGAATCATGCACTGTGATTCTAGGACTCAGGACTCACCTGGAAGCTTCGTTCACTTTCTTTACCTGTCTCCTATATGTGGGCGATTCAGCTTACTACCTTCAGTTCAGAACATAATCTGAGGTTCTCTCCAATCATGACACATGTCATTGGAGAATGGGAAGAATGTATGGGTTGGAGAAGTCAGAGCAGGCTTCAGGGGGACCCTAGGTATGGATGAAGCAGTCAAGGAATGAATAAGCAAAGGCAAGAAGAGGGTGGAGGACATCCACCTAAAGAAAGACAGGAAATTCAGCATACTTTGTGCTCACAGCTAGTGGGGGGTGGGAGAGGGGGTGACGAAGGTGGTGAATGCCTGTGTCACCTGTGCCAGAGGAATGGCATATGAGGCTGCAGGCAGAGGATGTCAGAAGGCTGGGTTGGTGTTGCTGGAGGTGCCCCAAGGACTGGCGCCTGCCTTAGTAGGTGGAGGTGACATGGCCTGGGTTGTGGTCTAGGCTTCTGGGAAGATTCTTCGAACATTGTGTTAGAGAAAAATCTCCCCGCAAATAGACACAACAGAGGGTAGAGAATGGGGTAGAGAAAAATACAGCCACAGCAAGGAAATATGCACAGAGGAGACCCAGAAGTCAGAAAGATGTGTGGAAAGCCAATTTTACCTGCATGTTGACTTCTAAAACCTGGAGCATTTTAAAGCTGTAGAGGAAGCATAGAGAGCGCGCAGTTCATGTAAGAAGTGAGTCCAGAAATGTGAGGCTAACCCCACTCATGAGCAAGGGTGGTGAGGTAAGATGAGGAGAGTCTCAGACCCTGAGAGTCCTGTCACTGTGCTTGGGGTCCATAGACAGATCGGCCAGAGGGTTCCTTCTGGCTCGTGGACAGAAGAAAGTAGGGCCCTTGGGTCACAGGCTGTTTGAGGCCTCTTCTAGAGCTATACTTTCACTGCCAAATTGAGATTCAAAGTCAAGTTCTTTGACTTTGAACTTTGCACCAAATACGATGTTTAGAAATGCTTTGAGGTAAACTTCTAAGTAAACTTTCAGAGACATCTTCCAGGACATGCTGAAAACCCTCTTACACTATATTTTAAATATTCAAATAAACAGCATGAAGTTGAAATGCTACTGTTGATTGTATTTTCTCATATATGGAAATTCTTTTTTTCTCCCAGATTGAAGGTGTGTTTATTCGAGGCATGGGACTTTATACAATAGAGGAGCTGAATTATTCTCCTCAGGGAGTCCTATACACTTGTGGTCCAAACCAATATAAAATCCCTGCCATCTGTGACATCCCCACAGAGTTGCACATTTCTTTATTGCCTCTGTCTCAAAGCTCAAATACCCTGTATTCATCGAAGGTAAGTTGCGCTTGATAAATAAGTGCAAGCTTACCTGATTTGTGATATCTATGCAGGGGGCTGGGGATGGTTCCTTCATTTCTTGGTTGTTTGGGGTTTTACCAGACTGAGAGAGGAAAAATCCCTATTAAACATGTTAATTATAAATTAACAATGTTACAATTTTTTAAAAAATACTTCATATCTTGGAGCCTAGCATGAACTACTATTACCATCAGGTGTATTTGAATTTTCATTTTGTAATAATCATCTCATACCTATATCTGCTTTTTCTATTTGGCATCATTTCCTTAGGTAGGAATCCTAAGAATGAGAATACTAGGTTAAAATATTAAATTACTTGTTTAAAAGAAAAGAGTTACATATATAATCGTACTTTATAGGGATGCCTGGGTGGCTTACTTGGTTGGGTATCTGATTCTTGGTTTTGGCTCTGGTCATGATCTCGTGGGTTGTGGGATCGAGCCCGCCCATAGGGCTCTGTGCTCAGTGGGGAGTCTGCTTAAGGATTCTCTTACTCTGCCCTCCCCTCTCACATGTGTGTGCTCACTCTCTCTCTAAAATAAATCTTTAAAAAAAATAATAATATTTTATATATACATCCACACACAGGTTTACCTATAGGTGTACTTATACATATATATACATATAGATATAGAGAGAGTCATAATCTGGTTGACTTGTTTCCCTTTGAGGGTCTAGGAGAGTCTGGGATATTCCTGGGATGTTCAGTGTTTTTTTGCCATTCATGATGCAGTGAAAGTAGCACAACAGGAGAGAGGCCTGTCTGGACCATTGAAGCTCAATAGTCCACTGACTCCAAAGAAGATTAGGATGGCCTGTGAAGATAAGTTCACAAAAATGGTATGACCTGCCTATATAATTCTGAATTTTTGTCCCCTGTCCTCATGGCCAAATTTTATTAACCCACCATGGTGATTTTCCATGGAAGTAAAGGTAACAGGAATTCTGGGGGCATTTGACCATGGGAAGAGCAGACTGGCCTTTAGATTGGAATTTTTCATCAGCCTGGCCCTGCCTGCCCCACAGCGGGGCTCAGTTCTACACCACTTGAAAATGAAGGTCATCGCTCATTCATCAGTTACATGTTCCTTGGTTTTTTCCCTTCCCAAGACATGTTGGTCGGGAATGGGAGGACAGGAACCTAAGACACCCAGGCCAAGAGTATGGGCCATGCCAACAGTCTGTCTCACTCTATCCAATCAGGCACTTGAGAAAGTGCATGTAATTCCTGATTTGAACTGCAGAGTGGGAAGGGCCCTTTCAGGTCAAACCCCCAAAATAGCTCTTGCATCAACACCCCTGCAGAGCAAACATTTCCGCTCTCCTTGGTCACTTTCAGGGATGAGATCTTAATTGTGGGAGAAAGTCATGCTGTTGAACATGACCCCTCTGACTGCATAGGTATTCCTTATATCAGGGGAGAGCCGCCTCCTGTTCCTCCTCACAGTGCTGGCTCTGTGTGGCACCCCTTACAGCTAGCTTTTCCTAAGTCTCCCGTGAATCACCTCTTCACTATGGGGGAACACAAAGAGTAATTGCACTTTTCATTTGTCCCCCTTCGAAGGTGAGATGATGACTCTTGTAGCTGCCCTGGCCTATTAATCCCGTCCTGGATTTTTCCACATTTCTCATGCTGTCATTCCAAGACCTCTCCTCATCCTGGTTGTCCTTGGGTGGTGTTTATCTTGTTTTATATTACGCTATTTTTCACCTGTCACAAACATTTTCCAAATTGCAAACATCCACAATTGTTCCTTTATTCTAGATTCCAAAAGACAAACCTGGATCCTATGTTCTTTGGAATATACCCATATGAACTGAATGCAGACTTCTGGGGAAATGGGACTCTTCTGACGTAGCAGTCTATCCAATCTTTATGCTTTAAGATGCTAGGGCTAAAAGATAAATGTTCATAGTTTAGAAATCATTTCACAGGGTATTGCTTTTATATGATGCTGATTTTAAATGTTCCATTTGGATGTTGATAGATATGCTTAAGCAATTTAGAAATCATATTTTAAATAGCACAAATACTAACTGGTTTCCTCTAGAATGATATTCTCCATTACTCTGTTCCTTAAATCCATCCAGCTGAATGGAATAGAAGATGATGATTCGTATGTGATTCATATTTGGCTTGTATCCACCAACAGAAATTACACTGTCTAGTGAAAGGCAATTTTCTAAATAATTTTATTAGTAGTGTGAACTGTAAAGTTGTCATTTTCTCATATGTCCCCATCTGCTATCAGCCTCCTTTTATTGTCAGAATGGATCCAGGCACCATATCCAAGTGTCTGTAGGACTAAAGGAAAAAAAATGGATAAATTAGACTTCATCAAAACTAAAAACTTTTGTGCTTCAAAAGATACTACAAGAAATTGAAAGACAAACCACAGAATGTTAGAAAATATTTGCAAATCATATATCTAATAAAGATGCAGAATATATTTTAGAAACTCTTACAACCCAGTAATAAAAAGAGAAATAACACAATTTAAAAATGGACAAAGGAATTAAACACATATTTCCCCAAAGAAGATATGTAAATGGCCAATAAGCACATAAAAAGATGCTCAAAGTCAATAGTCATTAAGGAAATGTGAATGAAAACCACAATGGAAACTACTTCATTGCCAATAGGATGGCTATAATCAAAATGATGGATAATAGTAAGTGTTGGTAAGGAGTGTGGTGAAATTGGAACCCTTATCCATTGCTGGAAAAATGAAAATGGTACAAACACTGGAAAAAAATCAGCAGTTCCTCAAAAAGTTAAACATGGAATTACCAAATGACCACTCCTAAGTATGTGCCTGAGAGAATTGAAAACATATGTACATGCAAAAACTTGTACACAAATGTTCATAGGATTATTCATAATAACCCAAAGTGGAAACAACCCAACTGTATCAACTGATACCAAAATATAATACACAAAATGTGGTACATCCATATAAGAGAATATTATTCAGCCATACAAAAGAATGAAATACTGATATATTCTACAACGTGGATGAACCTTGAGAACATTGTTTAAGTGAAAGTAGGCAGACACCAAAAGCTACATATTGTATAATTCCATCTATATGAAACATCCAGAATAAACAAATTCATGGGGATAGAAAGTGAATTAGTGATTGCCAGAGGCTGAGTGAAGGGGAGGGGAGGGAATGGGGAGCTGATTGCTAATGGGTACTGGGTTTATTTTTGGGGAGGTGAAAATGTTCTGTAATTAGATAGTAGTGATGGTTGTACACCCTGTGAATATACTGAAAACCACTGAATTGCACATGTTAGAAGACTGGATTTTGGTATGTGTACTTCATCTCGATTTTTTAAAAAAGCATATGTGTAGAGAAACAGAAAACATGGGAAAGATTGAGAAGTTGTGATAATCATAAGAAATTTATCCCAACGGCCTTGAGTGACAAGACCTCAAAGGGGGCTAAGCAGCGAGACAAAAATTACCGAGAAATTCCACTTGCATTAATGGCAGAAAAAAAAATCTACACTGAGGTATAAAACACTAGAGACTACTTGATGGCACCTTCTCCCTGTCACACTCTCAACTCAAGGACTCTTGTCCCAAGGCCAAGTTAAGATGGTGGTGGTTCTTCAAATTTGCCTTTCATTACCACATGGATGTGTCTCGGAGACACCTCAAACTTAACATGTCCCAAGCAAATCTCCTTGTCAGAACAGCCATCCCTGAGATGCTAAGCCAGAAATGAGAGAGTGATCCAAGATGCTCCGTTCTCTCTGCGCATGCACCCATTCAGTCCCACCTCAGAGAAATTGCCTACATCTGTCCCTCTCTGTTTATTCCTGTGGCTATTGTGTTATTCCAGGCCATCGTTATTTCTAACCTTTGTAGTAGTCTCCTTATTATTGTCCTACATTTATTTTGCTTCCCTTCCAAACCATTCCTCAGATTAAAGCAAAATTCATATATAAGTTTATGGAAAAACACACATGGACATATGATTATGTTATACCCTTGCTTAAAACCCTTTAATGGGTTTCTTTCTATTCATTCCAACAGAATAGTATCTGAAATCTCTAAGGTGGCATGGGTACCCTCTGTGATCCGGCCCCTGACCATCTCTCCAGGGTTGTCTCATGACCCCCTTCTTTCCCATCAGAATTTCCCATTCTGTTTCTCACTCTGAATTCTTGGTCCTCTGCCTGAAAGGTGCTATCATTTCCATCCCTCCTTCAGTCTGCTACTATGTAGTGCTTCTTAAATTTTAAAATGCACACAAATAACCTGAAGATCTTGTTAAAATGCAATCAAGCAATCCCAGAAGCAAGAAGGTATGATGGAAGTGGTCCGTCTAGAATCAAACACAAGTAGGATTGGAAGGAACCCAGTTATCCACTGCTGTTGTATCAGTATCTTTCCTGCACTTCATACCTGTGGCTACATGGTGGAGAGAGAGGTCCCTCATGGGGAGGAGGAGAGAGAAGGAAAAAGTCTGAGCTTGGTTGCCAGGTATGGGAAGTGTCTGCACTACAGACCCACTCAGAGGTGGTAAGGGGAAATTCTCCCAATGGGCAGAGTTTTGGGTAGTGCACCTGGTTACCCACTTTGTGTTGAAAACAGAATGACTCAAGGTTAGAGTATATATGTGTGGTAGCAAATGGTTTGGCCAGTTGGGCAGGACCTGGAAGGGGAAAGATTGGAAGACTGGGGACAAGAGGCTCATGAACGGGTATATGGGAATGAGCACAGGGTGTCAAAGTGTTCATATTGCACATTAGAAATGTAAACTGTCCACTACGTAAATTTAGAAAAAAACAATGTGAAACCTTACCTCTCTTCCATTCACAAAACAAGTTCATCTGTCTCCTTTGAATGAGATGTTATGCCAATATAGTTGGCTAAATGTTGTGAAGTTGCATCGAAAGCACTTGCTGCTGTGTCCACCTGAGACCATGTTGGTGAAGGCTGTGGGGAAACAGACTCTTCTGTGCATGATTCGTCATATAGTACACAACATTTTGGAAAAGTGAGTTAGTTGGGCCTCTCAGCAATCCCACCCAGAAATCCCAGGTCCAGGTGAAATCTCTCGCCATGAAAGAGGCACTAAACAACCAAGTACATACACAAAGTGGCATTTGACATTAGCCTTCTCTGCCATTGGTCACCCACTGCTGACACAGAGTGTGGAAAGAGTCATGACAGCAGAGATTGGTGCCATGCCTTCAGGTAACTGCTGCTCCTGCTGAATGCAATGTCCAACCTGCCCCAAGGCAAACCAGAAATAACCCCCAAGTTAGCACCATCCTTCCAGGGGGAAGCACCATTACCCACCAGGGGGCAAACTGACACCTCCACTCTGGAAGGAGCAGTGTTTTACGTTAGCAGAAATAGATAAATATGCATTCTGAGTAAAGGTTTGCCTTGCCTGCCTGTAGGGCCTTGGCCAACACCACCTGAGGGCTTACACAGTGCTAAGTACACTCTCGTAAGATCTCCACTTAACATTGCATCAGACCAGTTTACAGCCAAGTAAGGGCATCTGCTCTACAGCAATGGAGTGAGAGTGTGACATGCAATCCACTGGTCATATCACATCTGTACCACTCGGAAGTGGCTAGTCCAGGAGAGCAATGGAATGGCCTAGACCAATGCCAGTTAGGAGCCTTGTGAGGATGGAGCTCTAGCCTCCAGGATGCAGGATACTTGAAATCAAACAGTTAACAAGCTGGCAGAAAATATCTAGACCTTTATACCAGATTATGGTTAATATCCATCGTATATAACTAAATTCCTCAAATTGATAAGTCAAAAACCTAATAGAAAATAGCCAAAGAACAGAAAAATAAATACAAATATTCATTAAATGTATAGCAAGATGGAAAAACCTCAAAGTAACAAGAAATGCCAATTACGGACTGTCACTTCACCTATATATTTGAAAATGGTGGCATGGCTAATACGGTGTTGGCGAAGGCTGTGAGGGAACAGACACTCTCGTACATGATGTGCTATCCCAGCACACACATTTTGGAAGGTGAGCAAGTTGGACTCAGCAGCATGCTTTCCTTTCAACCCAGAAATTCCAGATCTCAGAATTTGTGCAACAGAAATACTTGCTCAAATGTGCTATGTTAAAGCCTAAGAGTTTTCATTGCAGCATTGTACGTAATGGTGAAAAATGGAAAACAACTTCATGTGAACTGATAGAGGACAGTTTAAGACAATAATAAAAAGGCTAATAGACACGTGAAAAAATGTTCTACATCACTTGGCATCAAGGAAACACAAATCAAAACCACAATGAGAGACCACCTCATACCTGTCAGAATGGCTAAAACTAACAACTCAGGAAATAACAAGTGTTGGTGGGGATGCAGAGAAAAGAGAACCCCTCATACACTGCTGGTGGAAATGCAAAATGCAGCCACTCTGGAGGTTCCTCAAAAGGTTAAAACTAGAACTAGAACTAGGCTAGAACTTCCCTATGATCCAGTGTTCACACTATTAGATATTTATTCAAAGGCTACAAAAATAGTGATTCAAAGGGGCACATGTACCCCAATGTTTATAGCAGCACTGTCCACAATAGCCCAAATATGAAAAGAGCCCTGATACCCATTGACAGATGAATGGATAAAGAAGATGTGGTATAAATATACACTGGAGTATTACTCAGCCATCAAAAATAATGAAATCTTGCCATTTGTAGCAATGTGGATGGAACTAGAGGACATTATGATAAGCCAAATAAGCAGAGAAAGACAAATACCATCTGATTTCACTCATATGTGGAATATAAGAAACGAAACAGATAAACGTAGGGGAAGAGAAAGAAAAATAAAATAAATATAGAGGAGGAGGTAAACCACAAGAGACTCTTAACTATAGGGAACAAACTGAGGGTTGCTGGAGGGATAGTGGGGGGGGGAGGATGAGGCAGTTGGGTGATGTGTATTAAGAAGGGCACATGATAGAATGAGCACTGGGTGTTCTATGCAACTGATGCAACTAGTAATACCCTATATGTGAACTAAATTGAATTAAGAGTCAAAAAATGTTTAAGAGAAAAAGAACTTTATTGAGAACTTACTAGGTGCCAGGCACTGTTCTAACTATTTTACATGTATTAGCTGATATAATCCTTACAACAACCCAGAGAGACATACTGCCATTTTATCCATTTCATAGGTGAGCCTACATAACTTGAAAAAAAAAAGCAAAATTTGAAATAGTGCGAATAGTTGATTTCATTTTCTAGAAGCCAACCCAAACAATTAATGTATGTACACAAACATGCATGGGGAAATTCTGCGTGGATATGGAGGATTCTGGTAATCGTTAGTTCTGTGAAGTGAAACTTGGGAAGGAGCATTTTCTGCTTTATACACTTTTGTATTTATTAATTTTTTTAAAAAAAATAAGCACTGGTTTTAGAATTTAAGAACAACACCTAGAAATTAACACCTAGAAATTACATTAACACCTAGAAATGCACCTGAATGCATTATATGTACCTGATTTTGTTCCATATCACTGACTCTAAAGAAGGTTTTGTTGCTGTTTATAAGAAGAGATTTCATTCGAGGGCAGGAAGAAGTGTGTGTGGTATAAGAACTACGTTGATATTGATGTTCAAGTTGGCTTAAGGGAGGAAAAAAGTGGGGGCAGCAGAGGAAGATGGAGAAATAAGAGGCATGGGAGCGTCGATGGACAGGATTTGATTAGAGGAAAAACAGACACCCCCCTGTCCTGGAAGAGACCCCAGGAGAAGTCTAAGGGCCTCTCAGCTCTGTATCCTCCTCACAGCCCTCCTGAAGGCAGACGACTGTATTCAGGGGTCCACACTCAAGTTCTCGTGCTCCCCTTGAGAGGTACAGTGAATCTCAAGTGCATTCAGAGCCTGACCATTTGCGGGAATGCCTAATTATCCTCATTATTCCTCCCACCAGTATTTTTAAGCTTCCCTGTCCTAGGCACTGGGAACCAGTTACCTGCCATCATGGAGCTTACACTCTGGTGAATTCTTGAAAGATTTGCCTTCGAGGTGTCTTCTCTGACTTTTCCTCATATCCTCTGATCTTTTTAAGATCACACATAACCTAGAGATTGCTTGAAGGGTAGCAAGTTAAGGATTTGACCAAACGTAACAGCCAACAAATTGAAAAGGGCATAGGAATAAATAGAGAACATTTCAACTCCTGAAATATGTTTTTAACAAGCTCATTTGGAGGAGGGAATGGCTTTCTCAATTCCAAGTAATAAAATATTTATTTTAGGTAGCTGTGCTCAAGTTCAAAATCATTTATGTGTTGGCTTGTTTTTAATATGTACTCAACTAATTATATTCCTGTCAAAGTGATCACTGTTACAATCATCTAAATACATTTTTCCCCTTTTTTTAAGGAAACTGCTATTGTAAGTGACAGCAACTCTCAGCTTCATTGTCCAAACTCGGAAGTCACTTCTTTGGCACCACCTGCTGCTCTCTCTCTTTGGGGCCGCAGTCATCATAGAAGGTGTAGGAAGCAGCAAAACCAGAATTCACCTAGCTCAGGTAAGACTACATGTTAACAAGTTCCAAATAACTATGGATTAGGTGGCTTCTTTATGGTCTGAGCCATGGGTTAGGGTTTTACAGGACAAAGATGCTAGGTAAAAGGTTTTATCCCTTTTATAGGAAGAAAATGTACCCTCTCCTTAATTTCTTGTATCCTTCTCTGGATTTCTGTATTACTATTGGAAGTTTATTATACTCCCATTAAAATGTGAGGGTAAGTGGTCCAGAGGGCGAGACACACCATCTGTGTCACCTTGCCTCAGGACCATCTCATTGCCTCGGGAAGGAATCCTCCCTCTGGGAAGGTGGTGGGTCCAATGCACACAGAAAGGGGACAATCCGTATTTATTTGATTCCTATAATAAAATGAGAAAAAACAAGGATGCATATTCTATGTTCGATCCATGTAAATAGCCATGCTATGAATTCTACCGGAAAAAAAATACTTGTGTGATTTGGATATTTGAATTCAGCCTGTTGTGTAATAGTCTTTAATCGAGACTATGTATGTTGACTATCCCCTAAACTAAGTTATGAAGCGTTGGGGAGCAAGGATTATGTCTGTTTTAAAAATACTTTCCTAGACCATAAGGAATTTGTTGCCCTAAAGGTTGTTGGCAGATCACTGAGCCAGAGGCCAGAGGGAAGAAATATCACTGGTCTTTTTGTCATTTTGCATTTGAGGAACTCCTTGGATCATCAGAGGTACAGAGCTGGGCGTGTTAATCTCAAGGCCAAATTTGTATAGGATTTTTTAACTCAGGTACTGAAGATGCGTTAGTAAAAATGTCCAAATGTGAATGGAACATCAGATAACCCTCCAACATCAGAACAGGAAATGAAAAGTAGAAAAGCTGGACCTCTCTTTATGAACAGAAGACTTTACAATAAATCCCTCCAATTCAAACCCTTTCCCCCGCCCTGACCCCAAGCAGTAGCAGAATGAGGGAGGCAACAAAATAGATGCAGATAATCTCAATGTCTGTGATCTTGGTTGAATCCAATTTGAAGTCATGCCCTGGATTGACTTTGACGGCTTCCTCTCCCAACTGCCTCCATGGAGCCTCTGCCCAGAAGGCTTCTCTCGGCATTTGCAATGTGAACCATCCCAGCACTTGCAGTTGATACCTGGCAGGCCTGTGCCTCTGTTTCATTTCTGAGAGCTTTCTACCTATCGCTTTCAGGCGGGATCCTCTGTGTTCTTTGCTTTTAAGAAAATATTGCTGAAGGCCATGGCACCCAATGTGGATTCTACACCCCAGGTGTGGACTGGAGCATCTACACTCCTAAGGAACCACCTAGAGCTCTCCACAGAGCAGTCCATTAGAAGCTGGGGGGGTGAGTCACAAACTCCTATACTGTAGAATGAAAACTGTCTTGAACAAGAGGAGCAGAGATGCTTGAACAT